TTTGGAGTGAGTGGTATTTTTGTAAATTTTTTTTAAAACAGTGGTAGTTTTGGATTTTTTCCCCTAAAAGGCCTTTTCCCCATGTCCAAGACCCTAGCCAGTCATTTGAACCTGTGTCTGAGACCTCCTGATTAGTTAGTGGTGACACCCCATATGTGAACTCTAGCACTTAGAGGCTGCCATCATGGTGAAGAGATTATAGGTATTGAGAGAAATAGCATGCGCATCTTTCGCATCAAATTGTCCTGACCCCACTGGTCGAGAGTGAGTGATTCGTTTTCATTTTCTATATGCTCTTGTACCCCGGTGAGGACCTAGATTGCTCGGTCTCTATTCTGATGTCTTGAGTTGGATGCATGAGTTGACTGTTTTGAGTAAGTGGTTGAATCAAGTCTAGGTTGGCTAGTGAACAGAAGGGAGACTCTTCCTTTACTCGATTTGCTGCACTCGAATGTCCTTTGTGGTGGTTGTCCAGGTTGTTATTGAGGTTGTGCATGTATTGATGTTTGAAAACCAGTGCGATTCACGTGTCTGTGCCTTTGTGACTTGTCCCCAATGTTGGTTGAGTGAAATATGTAAGCTTACCTAGTGTCTGACTTGGTTTGCTTGGGGACAAGCAAACGGTTAAGTGTGGGGGAGTTTGATAGACCGTTATTTACACATGTTTTTACCCCTGCTCTTACTCCGTTTGAGGTATTGATTCTCGTGTTTTAGGCCGATTTCACGCTAGGTTGTGCTTGTTTATGATATTTCAGGTCCTAGTACGTGAATGGAGGCTTAGGAGCGAGTTTGGGGTCGATTGGACGAGGATCGGACGCATGGCGAGGTTCCAAGGAGGCTGCACAGCCAGACCAGGGAGTCGCACGGCCGTGCATGGTTGCAAGCTGGCCGTGCGCCTTATGCCGAGAGCGTGCACGGGCAGCCCTGAAGTGCCGCACGGCCGTGCACCTGAGCCATATGGTCGTGCGCCTTTGGCCGAGGATGTGCACGGGCTGGCCGGGACCCTTGCCTTGCCGTGCGAGAAGGATGAGTTCGGACTTAATGAAACGGCGCGTTTAGGGTTGCACGGCCAGAATGGTGACTTGCACGGCCGTGCACCCTGGCCGTGCAAGTCGGGGAAACCCGGTTTATAAGCTGATTTGGAGCCAAACAGAAGGGGATTCGAGTTTTTGAGAGACAGAGCGGTTCCTAGAGAGAGAAAGCGACGAACAAGAGCCTCCAAGTGCCCTAGATCGATCTTCAACACCATTGGAGCTTGGTTTGAGCTTGGAGAAGTGCCGATTCAACGTCCAGGAGCAGAAATCCATCTTCACAGTATGATTTCCGCGTCTGATTCTGCTTTTGCTTCTCTCTCCATGGAGTAGTTCCCCCATTCATCTGGGTATGGGAAACCCTAGTTCTGTATGTTAGGTTTGATTGTATGAACCCAAGTATTGATTCTATGATTTTGATTATATTCGATTGAGGTTTGAATGATTGAATGACTTGAATCCTGATCAAATTCCTGTTGTTTCTGCTTTAACCTAGAATGATAATATCTGCCTAGGTTGATAGAGTATCCTTAATCGAAGGTAGTGAATTGGTGACTTTAGTCGAGGAGCCAGTTCACTATTCTGTACCGAATTCCATTCGGTAGTGGAGGTTTTGTTCATAGGGCCTCAATCTGTTTACTCCGGTGTAGGTTAGTCGCCAGCTAGAGACTCAGATTGAGAGGGTCTGAAGACCTTTAGTCGAGACTTCAGACTGATTAAGAACCTTCCGCAGTATAACTATCATAGAAATTGAACTTGGTAATTACAATCCGGCTTAACTGCAGACTAGGGGGAACCATATCCGGGTGACCTCTCTTAACCTGAATACAAACGTTTAGTTGCTTTGTTTGCTTGTTAGTTTAGAACTTCACTAAAGTTTCATTGCTAGATAATACGAATTCACTGAGTAGTCATCACATCTAGGACCCGGGTTGACATTGAAACCCAAACCCGCTATACTACGCTTTGGGAAGTGGTTACACTTGGCCATTTTCTAGAGTGACAGTAACAGCGAGTCAGAGACTCTTGCTCTTTTGGTTGTACTTGTGTGTTCCAAACAGAATGCAGTTGAAGAGATTAGTAGAACTATTAGTAATGAGCTGGAGCTGATTCATTATATATGCAGCTTCATGAATTCTATCCGCTGATGTCCCGAGTCCTTAATAGTATACTTACTGCAGCTGCCCTCTACTCCAATTTTTGGTGGTACTGTGCAGACTTTAAGTCCTTCCATAATTGTTTTTTACGAGTGTTCTATCCGAAGAAGTCGTGAAGATGTATGTGAATATAAGTTTCGTAATGAAACTGTTGATGTCCTTACTGAATTCGCATTCATCCCTCTGTTATATAATGATGTGATTTGCTTTTTAGAGAGCTCATTAAGGAACCTGCTCTGGTTTTTATAATATGACAATGAACCATTGGTGATGTGGCCATGAAAGCTGATGTTGGATCTTTGATCGATCAAAGCCATGGAATCCCTCAACAAAATGTTGGATCCAGGTCCAAACTGATGGTTCGGTCAGTAACAGGAGGGATCATCTTGGTCAATGTATATAGGCTTTTGTATACATGCACTTTATCCATCACCAGGACGTGACCAAAATATTTGTTTCTTTTTATCTTGTCGTTGTATAGAATAGTGATAATTTCACCGGACCAAGTATAATGCGGTCCGGTCCTTGGTCCCCATTAGTTTTACAATTACTGAAGAAATGATGGATTGAACTAAGGGATCGTTTGGAAGTTGCGAATGTTAAATCGTTGTATTGTAATGAATCGCTACAATATAAATACATGCATTGATACAATAGATGCATTTTGACAATACATTGTTTGGTGGTTGAGATTCTATTTTATATATTTATTTGCATAAAGTTACTTTATAGGGAAATGTCACATTTATCCTCACCTTTTAATATAAAACAAAAAATATTAGGGACATAAATGGAAAGAAAAAGTGGACACAAATCTAATATAATGCATCATTTTTTGTGATTGTTGGTGGGACCTACACAAAACAATACATGCATTGTTTTACAAATGGCAAAATACAGTTCCATAGCCAAAACTTTCACGTTTGTGCCAATAATAGCCACATTTGGCAAAATACCACTTATAGCCACCTTTTGAAAATGTTGTTGGACAAATATAGCCTTTTCCGTTAGAAACATTGACGGCGTTACTAACACCGTCAAATAAGCAGACGGTTTGCTGATTAGGCGAGAAGAACACTTCCACGTCAGCGCCAACTAAGCAAGTCTTGACACGTCATCTTGACATGTCATATATTCATTTATTAAAAATAAAAACTTATATATTACATTATTAAAAAAAATCAGACTATATATTCCATTTCCATCGAAACCAATCCTTCAGCCCCTATTTTTGCCCGATACAAAAATTAGGGTTCCTCTCCCAAACTTCAAATTTCGACTCTTCTCCCCGAATCCTCAACTTTCCACTCTCCCCGATTCCTATACTAATCGATTCCTATTTCGGAATTAGGGTTCTTCCCCCAAATTCCACTCTCCACGAATCCTCTACTCCCTTCTGATCGAATCCTCACTCCCCTCCGCGATTCCGATTCCGATCGATTCTGTTCCGACTCGCAACGACGACGATTGCGACGCAACCCTCTCCTTCTCCTTTCGCGATTTCTCCTGCCCAGCACTTCAAGCGAGCTGCAGCCATGTCCAGGCGAATAGCTTCCTCAAGTTCGACTAGCACTCAGAGACTAGGCGTGGTACTCTGTTGGTGCAATAAGCCTTGTGTGGTCAAGACATCTCGCCTTTACAGCTCGCTACCAACCAAAAAAGATGAAACTATAAGAACCTTTCGACAAGCTTTCAGAATTCAATTGCAGCTATCAAACCCACAATAAAGAACCAAGAAAGTTTCCTTACCAGTCGCGACTGACGAGGGAGAGGACAAATCGGCTTCGAGGGAAGATTAGGGTTTCAGAGTACAATCGGTCGATTCCCACTTTCCTCCTAAGCATGCAGAAGAGAAGAAGCTTAGAAAGATTCGGCCAAAGCTCGGCGTCGATTAGTCAACCCATTCTCTGTTATGTTTCTCGAGGAAGGAGGCGGTAGGTTCACTTTCGGATTATCGAGGAAAATCGAGATTGGAGATGAGAAGGGTCTAGATTGATGGTGGCGGAAGGAATAAGGGGTTCGTCGGAGGGGGTTCGTCGGAGGGGGGGGCGTCGGAGGTGGGGCGTCGGAGGAAGATGGTCTTCGTGGTGCTTCGTGCTCGTCGCCTTTCGAAGGAAGATGGGTGGGTGGTTTCAGAGAAAGAAGATAAGGTAAGATGGAAAAGTCGACCAAATGGTCGGTGGGTAGGCTATTTCGTGTTTTGTATTTTTTTTTATTAATTATTCGCCACGTGGAAATCACTGGCGGTCCACGTAAGCTGCTCCGTTTGCCCAGTCACACTTAACGTTAACAGCGTTAAAGAATTGGACGGAGGTGGCTATAAGTGGTATTTCGCCAAATGTGGCTATTATTGGCACAAACGTGAAAGTTTTGGCTATGGAACTGTATTTTGCCTTTACAAATTGACACTTCCAAACATTGTATTGTGCATAATACATGTATTTAACAAACACAACTCTAACAATCACAACTTCCAAACGCCCCCTAATATTTGAACCGTAATGAACCGGGCCAAATGGCCCGTATGCAATGATGATCTGGTCCAAATAGAACATTCCCTATTTCCCTAAAATCGGGCTTGAATATATGATCTAATGGATTCATTTCGTTCTATTCCTTCGTTATATTTTCTTTATTACGCCTACCAAATCACTAAGCCATTCAGACCGAACCGTTGCACAACCCTACTCCGTCCGTTCACATTTATTTCCAAGCGGGAAAGGTAAACCTCAAAACAACCTCACCAATCAATTTTCTATTCAAAATAAAAAGGGCGAGAAACAGGAAGAAAAAACACCAATCAATTAAAAGTTTGCCATCACAAATCCAACGAGATGAAAAACAATCATCATAATCACCTTCTCCTTGGCCGGAGATTGACAAAGGAAACCAAAAGAAAGGTTATTTCAGACACATTCTTCAAATTGCCTTGGGGAAGAGAAGAGAGTGGGAGACGCCGGCAGGAAGGCGCCGGCGTGACGTTGTCACGACATCCACCGCCGGCCGGAGGAACCCAACTCAAACAACGTTAAAGCAACAACCTGTGTACCTGGTTTGTCAATTCCTACGACTGATCTAGTAATCCTCGTAAATTTCAAAATGTTTATTCATATTGATTGTACATTCTCAAAATGATAATTGTTCATATTGGTATTTATTGCGATAATATTGGAGGATAATCTAATTGGGTTGAACCGATTAATATTACTGGAAGATTTGAATTTGTACAAATTAGTCACTTGTAGTGGGAGCTGGGGGAGGAGGTAAGAGAGGAAGAGAGACGGTGAACGAAACGACGAGGAAAAGAACAAGGAGGAGCAAAGATTTCAATGACCTGAAGTTATTGATGTTCTATTATTGTAGATAAAATTATGACCTCTTGTCAATTAACCTTTGACTATAAGATTATTACTTGTTCCATTTCTATCTAGCAAAATCAAAATTTCGTGTTAAAATTGTCATTTCAAAAGGTGTGTACAAGTTCCGATAAGTGTGCAATTCATTCCTTCTATTGATATTCACACGAAATTTTCTTCTTAATTTGACTAACTCATAATTGAATAACTTTATCTCTTTCAACACAAATACCAAATATACCCAATTAAGATTAGAATGAACATGATTGAGTCTACAACATTTTTCTTATTTGATTTTATCTTTCTTGCTCCTTAATTTTCTTTCTAATCCAACAATGGTAACCTAGTTTAATATCAGTTTGATCTAGGATTATGTTGAATTGATTTCCAAATTGGCTCATCCAAATTATACATAAATTTATTCTTGAAACATTTATTCTAGTTTTTTTTTTACATACCTAAGAAAAAAAGTCGATACATCTTATGATACGATATCAATAATTTGTAAATGTCAATACCAAACATTTCCCTCGTAACTAGTTAGGATTTAGGGGATTAGTTTCGGGAAAAAAATAGTTGGAATATCCATATTGATACAATTGAGCTAATCCTCTCCCAACTTCCTACAAATCTAATTATTTATTCTTGAACAAACTGCTTAAGTTGCCAATTTTATGTCTACCCAATATTAACAAGCTCACTTATGCTTACATTTCTTTGTTGGTTAACTCTTAAAACATATATAATAGAAGAAAACAAACAAAGCATTGGCTTCTTCTAAATGACTTCAAATTTAGCACTTCCCTTTTACAATGTTGTGTCATGACTCATGACATAACACATTGACAAAACTCAAAATTTCCCCACCTTTTCGATTCTGTTATTATAAGAGAAAGGAGAAAAGAAATAAAGATCTTGCTGTGTTGCTACTCCAAAGACCAACTCCTACAAACCAAACCCTCAAACAAAAAGAGGAGGAAGGAAAAGGGTCATTTTCCAACTTAGAAGCCCTGTTTGTGTCACAAGAACCTCTTCATGTGTAGGCAAAGCTATGTAACACCAAACCCTCTAGACACATATACAAATAACAAAGAGCAGAAAATCAAACTTAAAACAGAAAACCCATGAGGAAAGTTCCAATCTTTTTCTCTTTTTCTTTGATAAATTTTGCTGTCTCTATTCTTCAAAATATATGTATGTTGATGGTATAGGTTTGAATGTCACAACTTCCCTCCCCCACCTTCAGTCCTAAGCCAAGGCAGCTTCTAAGTCTCAAGTCTCTTTCAGTTTAACAACCCCATTCCTCTCCTGCAAATGCCTAATATATACACACAGCAGTTCAAACATTACATGTATGCATCATTACTCAATTATAGCTCATTTACTAAGCAAGTTTAGGTAACTGATAGGTACATTCAACTCTTATATCCCAAACCCATTTCCCCTCTTCCATCTCTAACTTCCCTTATTCTGCTGCACATTCCCATTCCCATTCCCCAGCTGCTGATCATCTCAGAGGGGAAAGCAGCAGAAGAAGAGGAGATTTGAGAAGAAAAAAAAGGAAAGAGCAGCTAGCTACCTGGTCTGGCTGCAGCAACATACATCGTCGTCTCGTTAGTTCAAAATGCAACTCCACATATCTCCAAGCTTGAGGCATGTCACAGTGCTTCAAGGGAAAGGTGTTAGAGAGCTCATCCAAGTCAAAGTTGGAGGCAAGAAGGTTTCGTATCGAATGATCTTGTACTCGCTTCTCTTCTTCACCTTCCTCCTGCGGTTCGTGTTTGTCCTCTCCACCGTCGATTCCATTGATGGCGAAACCAGGTGCTCCTCTCTTGGTAAGTAACTTATCCTACGCCACATGAACACAACATGTTACTCTTACTATCTCCCTGCATTTTACCCTCATGTTTTGTACTATTATTACTAGGCCATGACTTGGTCACATTGCATATGAACTTCTTAAGCTGCATGGGATTTTCCTGGTCTGAGAATTCAAGTCAGTGATTTTCATTGTTCAACCATCTGAAAATGCAGAAAAAGGGCTGACATTGACAAATATGCCCTTCTTAAGCCCCTTCATGGGTGCTGTTAATTTTCTGGTAGGGGTTGCGTAATTGGTGGTATGCAAGAAAAGGGTTAGTAATATAATAAAGGCTGACAGTTTACAAGCCAACAAACACTTTATAAACTTAATCAACCACTGCCACATGACCAAATTATACTAAAAAATTGTTTCTTAATCTCCCCCGTGATTTAGATGCTGCTGCATAACGATAATGATGTTGTCATGGCTAACTGCATAGGATTTATTAATTAGTTACCTGATCTATCTGGTTGGCCTTAATGTTGGTTATCTTTCTGAACTGCAGGTTGCTTGGGAAAAAGAATAGGGCCAAGATTACTAGGAAGAAGGATGGACCAATCTGTAATCTCCTACCCTTTTAATGGGAACTTGCTATTTGTTCTGTTTCTCCTTCCACTAGATGATGCAATCTGTACTGATCATGGAATTGGCTATGGCGTATACTGTTTCACAATTAGGTTCCTGAAGTAATGTACAAAGTACTAGAACAACCCATTGACAAGGATGAACTACAAGGAAGAACAGACATCCCTCAAACACTGGAGGAGTTCATGGCTGAAGTCAAAGATTCAGGATTTGATGCCAGAAGTTTTGCTCTCAAGCTCAGAGAAATGGTACTGTTCCTTCCTCTATATATACACATCTGAATTGCACACAAAAAAAAAACCCAGAAATGTCGCTCTGATCACTCTTTCTTTCCTCTTCACAGGTATCACTAATGGAAGAAAGGACAAGAACAGCGAAAATCCAAGAGTATCTGTACAGGCATGTGGCATCAAGTAGCATACCGAAACAGCTCCATTGCCTAGCCTTGAGGCTGGCGAATGAGCACTCCACGAATGCAGCCGCCAGGCTTCAACTTCCTTCGGCTGAGCTTGTACCTGCTCTTGTTGATAACTCTTACTACCATTTTGTACTTGCTTCAGACAATGTCCTTGCAGCAGCTGTGGTTGCCACATCCATAGTCCATAACTCATTGAGGCCACACAAGTTTGTGATCCACATCATAACAGACAGAAAAACTTACTACCCAATGCAAGCCTGGTTCTCCTTGCACCCTCTAACCCCTGCGATAGTTGAGGTCAAGGCGTTGCACCATTTCGATTGGTTCTCGAAGGGAAAAGTTCCTGTCCTGGAGGCAATGGAGAAAGATCAGAAGGTGAGGTCACAGTTCAGAGGTGGGTCTTCTGCAATCATTGCGAATAACACCGATAAACCTAAGGTGATCGCTGCCAAGCTCCAAGCTCTTAGCCCCAAGTACAACTCCATGATGAATCATATCAGGATTCATCTGCCCGAGGTAACTCCTCAAAATTTGCAAGACTTGTTACTTTACTTCCAAGTATGTTCTGTTTTTTCCATTTCAAACCCATTTTGACAAAAGTCCTGGTGTTGATTTGTTTTTATCAACCTGCAGCTTTTCCCAAGCTTGAACAAGTTGGTGTTCCTAGACGATGACATTGTGGTACAGACCGATCTTTCGCCACTTTGGGACATCGATCTGAATGGGAAAGTGAATGGAGCTGTGGAGACATGCAGAGGGGAAGACAAGTATGTAATGTCTAAGAAGTTGAAGAACTACCTGAACTTCTCACATCCTTTGATAGCTCAGCATTTCAACCCTGAAGAGTGTGCTTGGGCGTATGGAATGAACATCTTCGATCTAGAGGCTTGGAGAAAGACCAACATCAGTAACACCTACCATCAATGGCTTGAACAGGTAACCATCATCTCTATCCACAGAAAGATAAAAGCGAAAAAAACCATGGCTAAATGAAGCTTTTCCTCTTTTGTTATGTTGTGTTGCAGAACCTGAAATCAGACCTCAGCCTGTGGCAGCTGGGAACACTACCACCAGGGCTAATCGCATTCCACGGCCATGTCCAAGCCATCGATCCATTCTGGCACATGCTAGGGTTAGGGTACCAAGAGAATACCAGTTATGAGGATGCTGAGAGTGCTGGTGTTATCCATTTCAATGGAAGAGCAAAGCCATGGCTAGACATAGCTTTCCCTCAGCTCAGGCCATTGTGGGCCAAGTACGTTGACTTCTCTGATAAATTCGTGAAGAGTTGTCACATTAGAGCAGCTTAAGAACTTGACCAAATGGAAAAGGCCAACAACAAGGAAAGAAGACGATCTCTCTTTCTGCTTTGTATATGAAGGAGAAGACTACAAGTGGATGATGAAGAGAAGCAAACAAAGAGGTTCATTTGGCAGTTCCAGAACAAGAAGGCCTTCACAAGTTCAGATTGTAATATAATTTCCCCTCTTTCCCCCATACTTTTCTTTCATTTCCTTTCTTATGGTCTTCTCCCGAAAATTTGTTCTTTCCTTCCTTTGTAATTCATGCCACTTAGGAGATTAGTAAACAGAAATAAGTTTTTTTGGATTCAAGAAAGGAAAGGAATTTAACAGAGAATCAATCATACAAAAAGAGAAACTTCTTGTTATTTCGCCACTTCTTCCTGCAGTCTGTTTATTTTCAGTTATCAAATGAAGGGAAGGAATCCATTGATTCGGTCCATTCACTTTCTTCCAGTTACATTGGAGACCAAATCTTTGAGAAACTTGGCAGACTTGGTGATGGGAGAATTGATAGCCATCAAGTTGTACAAAACAATCTCAACTTCACCTATGGAAGGCCTTGCCTTGAATTGTGAAATAACCTTCATCTCACCTCCTTCTTCTTCAACAAGAACACTCCACTTCTCCCCACTCACAATTCCATCCCTCACACACTTAAAGATCACTCCTTTCCTCTTGCTCAAAACTCCTTGAACCTCCAGCCCCATGAAAGAATAGATGACCTCAAATGAACCCACAAAGCCACTCAGTTCTTCTCCAAAATCGCCATCACCCCCTCCTTCAAGTCCCCATCTTGGGTTCAGAATCACAACTGGGTTTGGATACATACCGTCTGCAACCCTTTTCACATCCACTAGCTGGGAACTCTCTGGAGAAAGAAACACTGCCACGTCAGCACCAGATATTGATCTCCTGATGTTGTCATAGGAAGACATGTCGACGTGTTCAACATTGGCTGACGATGATGGTAAAGCGGACAACTGGAATGCTTCAATTGCAGCATCTCTGAGTGCAGGGTTGGGCCAGAGGATCAGAGTCTTGACTGGGGAGCCTTTTCTTTTGATGGGCAAGTCCTTGAAGATTTCAAGAGCTAGTTGAGAGAGGGAAGGTGGGGAATCATCAACCACAGGGATTTCAACTTGGAACCTTGGCTGCTTGAGCTTCTTGATCCTGCCAACGAGTTTGGGGTTGTTGAGGGGTTTCTCTAAGGTCTTGGAGAGGCAGGTTTGGGCTTGGAGGATTGCTTCTTCTCTGGAGGCTGGTGGGTTGGAGGATGAAGGAAGTGAAGAGTGGACTCGAAGACAGAAAAGTTTGGATCTTTTCTTGGGAAGAACAGAGTGGGTGATGGAAAGATGATGGAGGTCATTGTTGCGATGGGTCAGGGTAAATGGAAGGGACTGGCTGAGAACTGGATGCCGGTAAAGCAGTGGAGGTGGTGAAAGCTGTGTGGGGTTGAAGATTTGAGAATGGAGCTTGAGAAGACTACTGTAACCCATGGAGGAAAGTGGATACTTTGGTGGTGGTGGAGAAAAAGATGATGATGCAGAGGTACTTACATTGAGTGTTGGTTGAGACTTGCGAGAGAATAACTGAAGATGATGGTCCTGTACTGCTGGTACTGCTGCGAAATTCGAAGGAGATAAGATATGATTCATGATGTATGGCAGCTTCACAGCCGCATAATCATTTCAAATGGAGTTGCCCCACAAGCTACAATTCTGCCTTTAGGACATCCCAATCCAAGATACGTCCTCTCAGAGTTGATTCCGATTTCCTAAAGCAAATCATTCCTGTTTTAGCCAGCGATTGTAAAATCGTACCAGAGGATATTACCGAAAATGTCAACGATAGGATATTTTGTGCGAGAAGAATGAACATATAGTTCAGAGAGATGATACGGCTATAGAGATCTGCTAGAGAAACTTATTGAAATTTACACGAGTATACCAGCAATAATTCATAGATCATCACTCCAGATTGGGACATTGCAGGGGCCACGGAGTCACCCACCAATTCTGAGTTAGAACACTTCATCAAAAGCTCATACATGACCAAGAACAATAAGAGGAGAACGAATTACAACTTGGGTTGCAAAATCCAGCCCTCAGCCACCAACGATTGCGGCAACTTAAGCCACAGGCGGTCGGAGCACATGGTCCTGTGAGGTATCAACCGAAGCCGGCGGCATAAACTGCCACATAGCAACTCCCGGATAACCAATGAAAGGCACCAACTTGTTGCCGGGAGCTTGTCCTTGAGCTGCAGCAAAGGCGGCAGCTGGAATAGCAGGGGGAGCAGGCAAAAAGCTAGGTTGAGCGTGAATGGTTTTCATTTGCTGTTCCAGCTTCTCTTTCTCTGCTTTAAGACGCTGCTTCTCATCACGAAGTTCATTCTTCTCCACCTACGCAAGAAAAAGGGGGGCTTTCATTTAGCCAACCAGTATACATTTCATCATGCATTCTGCGCTTATCAGCAGATGAAAGGGCATGATAGCGTAGTAGGAGGCCTTCACCTTCAATTCTTTAATTTTCTCTTGAAGACTTGAATTTGAGTCCTTCAGTTTCTGTGCTTCACCACGTAATTGATTCACCATCCGGACAGCATCAACTAAAATAGCTGCCTTGTCGGTTTTGGGAGGTCTTCCAGGTTCCAATATGGAGCCTAATTCCAGAAACCTAATATGAAGAAGAAAAAAATTATCGCATCGTGATGGAAGAGAGAATGAGAACAAAAGGGGAAAAGGAGAGGCAAATACTTGTCATTGAGCCTATCCCTACGCAACTTCTCCCTACATGCTTTCGAGCTTGATCCGCTACATGACTCAGATCTACCCCTGCAAAAAAAAAAAAAGGACAGCATCAAGCATAACCACGATTCCACGACACCCTTTCATTAATGTCCATAAACAATCCAATCCAAATATTCAGATTTGGCAAGTGAATTTAGCCTAAAGTATACTAGATGCATGCATAAAGGTTCTATCAGCCGATGTTATTGTCACTGAAAATTTTTACTCAAGAAGCCTATGAAATTTCACTTTATGGCTGCTGATTCAAAGTTACTACTTTTACGATCATAATGTACTAGCAACATCATTAAGTAGCAAGTAGGCTATAAATAAGAGGTATTGCAACTACAGTTCTATCAAGCACAAAATTTGCACTTGAACGTGCATCTACATGCCTACAGCTCAATGTACTTTGTCAAGCAAACAACCTGCTCTTACTCTCGTGATCCTTGCTGGAAAAGTAAACAAGTACCTAGGCCTGCCTAAATAATAACTCTTCTTACCTTTTCTTGGAACTGGATTCTTTCTGGCCTTCGGATTCTCCAAACGACGCATCAATTTGACTAGCAAAGAACTCGGAAATTGACAAGGATAAGTTGGTGACCATCAAAACAACAAGAGAAAACATAAACAGCAGGAGGCGGAACGACGTTGTGACAACAAAAACCAAACCGTGGAACGCATGCATCATCAACCTAAGAAAGGTCCGAGCTAGTTCGGAACTAGGAGAGATTGAAACAAAATTATTGAACCCAGCAGTATAGCAATAGCATTCGCAGGGTGAGGTACTGACAAACTATAGCTTTTCGCAACCATTCTCAACTGGTCCTGTACTGGGCAGAGTACAGAAAGCCTTACACCCAAGGTGGTAGGCAAGCATAACGCTTCAGCTGCTGCTTCCAGAAATGGGTAATTACAAAGAAATCAACTTTATATCAAAAGAAAGAACCCTAACCCAACCCATGCTAGCCAGGCAATTCTTCCCCAAATACAGAATATTCGCAGCGGAGTCTCGATTCTTCCCTAATTGAGATGGACAGGGCGAGGAGGGAAGCAAACGAAAGAAGAACAAAGGGAGAGAGAGATTGAATTGGATACCCGGCGGCATTAGATGGAGGAGGAGCGTTTAGGGTTTGGACGGGCCAGGAAAAGCCGTTGACCGGGACTGAGAAATTGGCATCGGGAACGGAGATGTCGTCGATCAGACCGTACTCCATGATCCAATTCGTGTTCTCCGGGGAGACCATTTCCCGTCTCAGTAAAATACCGCTCCACAGCAGGAACTGCAATGGCCGGAGAATTGACGGTGGAGCGGGCGTTTCCCGGGGACGGTGAAGGGAGAAAGAGAAGCGGAGCGGTGGATGAGAGACAGAATGGAAAGATAATTGGGGGCGCGTGGGCTAGGCGATTGAAATAATGAAAAAATGCGGAGACACGTTAGATTCGTTGAATCTGTGCGTTGTTGAACTCGCAGTACAGTCGAGCGAAGACTCAATTAGGATTTGAATGGGCTTCACTTTTGGGCTTCGATTTTGGGCTTCTTATATCAGATTCAGAAGTCACAAAAAGAGAGAAAAGCAAGCAATCATTATACAATAGTGACAATAAAGAATTACCCTGTCTAAATGACATCACAAGATGCAGCAAAAGTAGTTTCTTCTACTATTACTACTACTAACTACTATACAGGCTAATGATATGGTTGGTTAGCTAATGTTTAATACTACAAACTCTGCTCCCCCTCCACTTTCCTCTAAAACAAATCCATCAATCGTCCATGATAGTGGCAGAGCAAAATGCAATGCAATCGGGTGCAGAAGGTGGCGTTGGCAGACCATATATCTCGATTCTTCAACCCAAGCTGAGGCGAAAGTCTGGAGATCGCAAGTTGGTCTGGCGGCGAGGAACACCAATCTCACAGGCGTTGACCCTGGACGCGAATCGGAGCGAGCATAGCGACTCGCCAGCTGATGATGCCTCTGGCGATATATTTACAAACATCAACGTCTTCGAGTCGCCACCCAGACATGGCTGCATAAATTGAAGAACCACCACGAAATTAACGAAGACAACCCAACCTATCATTACTTAGATTCATTTGCCAAAAACGTTGTCAAAGAAACAACTTCTTAGCCATTATGATTACCTGAAGCAGATATGTGAGCTTTGAGTTCCTATATGGTACAAAATCTTCCTTCTTTGCCAGGGCAAATATGACATCGCTCAGTGACGACAAGCTTTTGTTGATTGCCTGATAAGAATGTGAAAAAAGAGAGGGTGTTGCACAATTAGTAGGATGAAACAAGGATATAAAATGGAGTAGCAGAAACACGGAAAGATCAGTAAGGTTTGTTATGTCAAAATACTTGGGTTTCTTTCAATCGGTCGCCAGTAGAACCACTCTTGGAAAGACGCTCACTTCCAGCAAGATCAATCAGATTCAGAACACTCTCTACTTGTTGCTCAGTGCTCTAGAGGAGAACAAAAAACAGACATTATTCAGTTCCAATGTTTTCAGAAATAAATAAAGGAGAGAAGAAACATACACATAGATAGTCATGGTAGCATTTTACCTCATTAACGCCAGATATTCGCAGGGTGAAAACAAAATGACTTCTAGATGATTGCTCGTTCATCTGTGTCTTGCCCACTGACCTGCAACATTGAAAAAAATGGGAAACAGTTTTTCGATCAAAACATTTTCGCAAACAAGATGATTGTAAGAACTTGAACAAAGCTCATACATTAATTAATCTGTCTGAGCTAAGAAAAGAGCATTCTACTCTTAACAACTAGTTTCTCCTTTTCGTGTAGAATCAAACCACAAGCCAAGTAGCAAACAGAAGGATGGGAGTTCATCTCAAGACTATTTACCTACTGTGAGATGCCCGATCCAAGAGGTATGAGACCTCCCTAGAACTCCGAACATCTACAACAGTAAGGTCAGAGACAGTTGTGTTCCCGTTCAGGTCATGCTTGATTGCGTATTGCTTTCCGTTAGGAGTACCCTCTCGAAATGAATCTCGATTGGTTGATAGCAAGTCCCGAATTGTTTCATTGTAAATCTCCAACATTGACACCTGTCGTTGGTTGCAAAAAAGGGGAAATATATCACTGTTGTTGCTCATGCTCATAGAAGTATTTGAATCTCTAGCTACGTGCAGGACAGTACAAGAGCAAAACATGGCATTGCCCTCACCTGCATTTCATATTTCCAGCCCTGCAATTTAAGGGATTCCCTTGTTTGGAAGATTTGTTCCAGCGTTCGGGGAATCAGCCCCTTTAGCTCTGGCTGCCCTGGTTTCCCCATCATGGTGTAAGTTTTGCCAGATCCTGTTTGCCCGTAGGCAAAAATGGAAACCTACAATTTAAAAATAAGTGCATGAGCACAGGCAGGCAACACTAACAGGTTGAAAGAACCTGGAGATTCTCTTAGATTGAATTATATAATATCGTGTCATCCACTCCAACCTCAAAACAAGTACCTTGTAACCATCAAGAGCACTTTGAACGAGCTGTGAAATTTCCACAAATACATCCTCTTGTGATGCATCAGGTGCAAAAACTTGGTCAAAAGAAAATGAATATTTTTGGCCTGAAGACGATACAAACAAGCGATTAGTTTTGAAGTCTTTAATATCCAACTTGATTTCACATTTATAACAGTACAGGTAAAGACGTACCATTTTGATTTAAATCAATGGCACGTCCAAGAGCTTCTAATGAATTGGGATAGGAGAGAATCTTCCCATCAGTTCCAAGTCCATCATCAGTCAACGAGGGCCTCACACGGCAAAAGACACGGATATTCCCTTTCAGTTCCTTCAGAAAAATACATTTCTATAAGATGAAGATATTGATCTTGCAAAAAAAACGGAAAACTAGATAGCTCAAATTTTACCAAGATTGTATTATGTAGATGAAGATATTGATCTTGCAAAAAAAACTGAAAACTAGGTAGCTCAAATTTTACCAAGATTGTATTATGTAACTTCTTTCGAAGTTTCTCCCCTTCAACAACTTTTTGTTCGGCATCTTCCAACCGAGTTTGTAATGTTTTTACAAGTTGTTCTTGAGCTTCGAACTCCGTCTTTGTCTCGAACACAGACATGTCAGACGCCTGAAAGGGAATGCAAAGTTGATCATCTCCAAATGATTCTGGACAGTAACTCATGACAAGAATTACTAATAACAAAAAGGCAGGTGCGTAAGCATGAGATAAGTACCTTTAACCTACTCTCAGCGGCCTCCAATTTGTACTGCAACGTCCTTATCTCGTGGTTTTGTAACAAATATTTCTCCTGCATAAAACATTTTATCACTAAGTAGAACAGCAGAGGCATGGAATTGCTGATCACATTAGGAGAAGGAAGTGTATAAATTATACCTCAAACTCATTTGTCTTTTGTGACTGCTCTTGGTAACTAGCGACTTCAGCTGTCAAAGTTTGGACTTGCAAAGTTAGTCGATCTCGATCATCTCTCACCTGTTGCAACTCTCCCCTTAGAGATGCAACTTGACTCACCAACAAATCCTTCTGCTTCAGAGCTTCGTCTGCAGATTCCTATTAAAGTTAACCACCAATTAAACTATATTCAGGATTGAATATTCAAGAGCAGCAAATCCCATGAGAGGCAGCTTACCTCGTATGTTTAAAATAAAAAATAGGAAAGATATGATTAAGTCAACCATTGTACTGTAGAAATGTCTAACCCTGATAAAATATGAGTCCTTGGATCATGGAACAGGTTTTTGCCTTCCAAGACTTGGTTGTAGTTCACATTAAAGATTGCCACAATCTTCCCTTGCAAAGTATTCCGAAAACTTTGGGCAAACATAATAGCATGCAAACTCTCTGTTTCCAGGAAGATATTCACTTAATCACGGCGGGGCCAGAAATTTTATGCTTAAGGACAAAAAAATTCATAAGTTATTCCTGGCCACTAAAATAAAGGGTGGTAAACTGCCCCACGGTAATGGTGAATCCTGTCCCAATCTGCATATAAATTTAGAGAATTTCAAATGTCTTAAAAGAAGACTTCAATGATATACTCATATCTAAGAGATCATCTTTCAAATGAATGGATTTCACCGATTCCGGCATAAGTTTCCTTAACGGACTAACATCGTAATAAACTTGGTTAATTGAAGGTAAGTTGACAAACTGGAGATAAATTCAACTTCCTATACTAAGCACCATCCGAATCCCTATCTATATTACCAGACACCAGACCAAAGTCCAATTAGCTCGGTGCTAGACTTCCTATCTCAAACGAATAAAAGTAATCTGTGAATCAAAAGTAAACCAAAGAAACAACTGCAAAGCACAAGTGGTCTGCAAAATCCTGGCATATCTACTTATGCCCTCAATGATGAGGGCACTGACAGTCAGTTTCTTGGTTTTCAAAGGAGAAAAGTTTCATCCGCGAATCCTTCTTAGTGCTAAAGGACACAGAGGTACGAGCCTATAGAACAGATCATGTTCAAGTAAGGTCGTTCATCCGCAAATCCTTGGTACAATTACAGTGCTTAACACTCCCTCCCAATTAAAAGGACACTTTCCTAGCACTAGTGTCCACTCTCCAGTGGCCTCCAATTGAAAGCAACCTCCATCAGTTAGTAAATACAGCAATTAAATGACACATGTAGTCAATTTATCCAAGAGCATAGGAATCCAAGATAAAATTCTCACTTTGCATGATGTGTACTGCTCTTGCAAAGACTTGAATTGACCCCTTAGGTTCCCCAGGTTTTCCACTATAGCAACTTTCTCTTGTTCTGCACGCTTGAGATTTTCGTGAGTCGCATCGAGATCTGTCTGAAGTTTAGTATTGTATAGCTGTAAACTTGAATTATACTCTTGCAACAGCTTGTACATGTCGTTAACTGAAGTTATCTGCATATGCCAACAACCCAGAGAGGTACAAAAGCTTAGTGACTTCTCTTAAATGGTCAGGCACAAAGGACCTGATAGCTAATATGTTGCATTTATTCAATTACCCGCTGATTCGCACTTTGGAGCTCTCCTTGAACCTTTCCAAGTTCCTCGGAGATGGATGCTTGCAACTTCTCTGTTTCAGTTCTGGCCTCTTTCTCTTTTGCGAGAGAATCTATTGCAGCCTGGTAGTTTCATCATAGGATTTGGGTTAAGCATGGTGACAAAAAGAAAAGCTAATCAACAGTTCTAGAGAACTTCAGAGGACACGTCTGCTCCTACCATCCTCTCTGATTCTTCCTTGGAGAGTTTCTCTTGTAAAGAAGCAAGACTCTTTCTCAGCTCCACAATGATCAAATTCAGTTCTTCGTCCTTGTTCTTCAAGACCAACTCTGTAATCAATAGCAACAATGTCTGCATCAGGACACACATTCACCAAGTTCAGGAGTAAAATTGGTGAGGGAAAATATAAAATAGTAAATCCAACCTGATTCAGCACATCTACCCTCAGCAAATTCCAATGCGGTTAGCAACTTCTCCTGCTCAAACAGAAAATTCCCTTCCACCTCTTGAAACCATCTGATACAAAGCCTCAACCTCCTTATATAGTCTAGCATAGTTTCACATCTCTCCTACAAAAAAAATATTCATAACTTCTGCTCAGATTTTTGTCATCAGAAAACCAGAACTACTAACCAGAGCACCCTTTTGACGCCAAACCTCAAAAGCCCATTTGAAAAGATAAAACACTTTTCTAACCTTGTAGTTGTACTTGCTCTTGTATCTCATTTTCTCACTCAACAAAGTCTCGACATCCTCTCTTGTGAACTCAATGTTGGCACCATACTCTGATCCAGCATTGCTTGGTGGCTCACTACCGGGAGCAAGCTCCTGTTCTCCATTCACAATGGAGAAAGCTAGCCTCATTCTCCCACTAACATTTGCTGTTCCAACCATTTTGTCAGCTCCAAGCTTACTACACCTTCTATCTGAACTCAGCTCATGGCCTCCAATAGACTTCCTCTATATTAAATCCCCACATCAAAAAATTAAAATGATAAAGACCGTCAGAAAACCAAAAGATTACAAAATTGAGCCAGAGCACCCATTCTCAAACAAACATCTCAAAGTGAGAGATTCAAAGGGGGAAAAAACAAGAGACAAGAAAGTGAAAGAATAAAAACCAGCAGGGGAAACCCTGGAAACGTACGTCACACAAACACAGCAGAATGACAAAAAGGAGGAGATAAAAGGGGCGCAGAAGAAGGGAAAGAAGTGAGACCCATATCAAAGAGGAACAAGAAAAGGTAAACCCAGATCTCAGAACCCTCCAAAAGGAAAATGGGGAGCGTAAAGAAGAAGAAGAAGAAAATGGCCAAAAGGAAAGAAAGCTTACACGTGAAGAAGGCAGAGTAGCAGAAATGGGCATGGACTTGAGTGGTGGCTTGTTCTGGTTTTTACAAGCCATCTCAAGAGAAAGAGAGAGAGTATTTGAAGCCTCCCTCCCAACTCTTTCTTCTTTTTTTTCCCGGTGGGTATTAAAAAATAACTTCTCAGAGAGATTGCAGGTGACTTGTTGTGAGCGGTGGGGGCTTTGATTGCATCCAAAGCGAAATATTCTGAATCAGAGCCGTTGCTTTGATGAGCAGCAAGGAATAGGAATGAGAGTGAGAGTGGGACTGCCCATCCAAAAACAAAAACCCAAAACCAGAAAATTAATAGGAAAAAACAAATCTTTGCAGATGCAGGGGAAGCGAGAGAGCGAGCTCACAGTCAGAGAGAGAGAGAAAGATTGTATTTTTATGGGAAAGAAAGGGAAAATCTAGCTGAAGACGAGGGCAGAGGTGAATATTCTCTGGTTTTCTTTTTGGGCTTTCTATTTTTTATGGAGGATTTTTTCTTCCCTCTGTTTAGATTTGTGACAATTGGAAACTGGAGGTGACAAGAACAAGAATTGGTTGCTATAAAAAGAACGGAGATGGAATTGAATAATATCATGTTTGTACAGATTGGGTAGCTTCGAGTAATTATTGTTGTTACAGAAATTTACCCTAGTGGAATTGGAATAGGAATTGGTACTTTTTTAAAAAAGTTTGACGATAGGCGGCATCCCGAGATGGGTATCTTGTTGACGTAATGTTTGACTAAATTGCCCTTCTCATTTATACAAAATTCCGTTCTACTCCTTCTTTGTCGGTGGCGGACCCAGAAATTTTTCATAGGATGTCCTCTTTTAAAAAATAATTAAATAAAAATAAAAATAATTGATAAAATAAAATTGTAAATATGAAAATATCTTACTCGTATAGGTTAAAAAAGTCCATGATATGTTTTCATATTCGGAAATAATTGTAGAATACACTTGGTGTCTATAGTTTTAAAAAAATTGTCTCTATATACACTGCTAGCTAGACAATCATTCACGAACTTATCGCATATTCGATTTGTAAACTTGTTCTTTATGTAACCCAAAGCTGAAAGACTCTTTCAACACTTGCCGTACAATCATAAAATCAATACAAATTAAGGGTAGTTTGAAATTAGTTTAATTGTTAGGTTTTTAAAATAACTAGAGATAGGGAATGCCATTTTACTATTACACATTGTTCAAAATCGAACAACAAATGAGTTTAGCTCAACAGAAATTAAGTTTATTAATAATAATAGTGTTCTAGATTTGAATTATCCAATCTACCACTTATATTCCTATACACAAATGACAGTAGGATAATCATTTTTTCAAATTTAAGGGGTGCCACTCACTATCAATTATATATTTTTTTCATAAATAAATTACCACCGAGGGTTGGATAATCGTTTTTCCAAAATTTAGGGGTGTCCCTGGGTCCGCCCCTGCTTTGTTGTCATTAGGGCTGAAAATGAGCCGAGCTGCTCGACACTCGATTCTGGAAAAACTCGTTCGAAACTCGACTCGTTTACTAACGAGCCGAGCACGAGTTTAGCCTTGTTCAACTCGTAAAGCTCGACTCAGTGGCTTGTTGAGCTAAACTCGCGAGCTAGCTCGTTTAGAGCTCATGAGATGTCTCACATTGTGGCTAGATAGTCAACTCGATTACCGACTTATGGGTGAAACGATCTATATCTTACGAGTTTAATTGATATGATTGTTAAATTATATATCTCACCATATATGAAGTTTAACACGGTGAGTCGCTGAGTATGTGAGCAAATATATATTATTTTTTATTTTAAAAAAGATATTTCATATCATAGATTGCTTCGATACATTAAATAATATGATTTAAATTACTTAAAATTTATTAACTACTAACATGATAGTATAATATGATATTAGTTAATATTGAACATTTTACTATTATTATTTAGGGTTAATACGCTAGTTTGGCCCCAAGTTTAGCGTAAGTGTCAGTTCTTACCCCATTTTTTAAATAAGACATTTGTGGCTTACTTTTGAAATTATTGGACAAATTTGGCCCACATTATTAATTGACCGTCAAAATTGACGGTCAACTATTTTCTCCGTAAGTGACTCAACATCCACTGCTGACTAGGACGTCCACATCATTTAAAACTAAAAAACAAAAAAAAGATGGCCAAACGAAACCCTTTCCTCATCTTCTTCCTCTTCTAACTTCCACCTCTACCCATTGTGAAATCCTTCCTCCAATTTCCTTCCCCAAATTTCATTCCCCATCCTACAATCCCTAGTTGCCTCTCATCGTCGCTATCCCTGGCTGACTTCCTTCTATCAATGGCGACCCTCGTCGTCAGAGTCAAGCCACCACATCTTTTCCCTCTTTCACTCTACTCCAGATCTAGGTCGGGGATCTGAATCAGTTTTGAAAACCGAAGAACCCAAACCCAAAATTTCAGTTCTGGGAAATCGTTTGGAGAGACGACCATTGACAGCTGCTTCTTCCAAGGAGAGACGACCATTGACATACTCGCTCTCACCGGACGCACGCGCGTCGCATTGCCGCACCGCCAACGCCACCAACGCTCCCCGTCGCCTTCGCTTCCGTGGAAGAGGCACCATCACGAGTTCGACGAGGAGAGGGTTAGGGGCAATCAAAGGGCAGCAACTTCTGATCTTGTGGACGGAATCTCAATGGAGCACCAGCAAAATCGGACGGACAAGAAAAATGGTAGGGGAGATGGAGCGGAGGTAGCCGAAGATGAGAATGGTGGCAAGGATGGGGTTGCGATGATGAAGATGTTAGGGATTCCTATTCAGTGGGGAGGGGAGGGACTCAGGAGATTGGAAAGTGTATTTTGGTTTTTGTTTTGTTTTATTTTAAGTTTTTTGTTTTTAATTTTTTAATCTAAATAAATGGTGTGGCAGCCACCTCGGATCCACCTCAGTATTTTGATATTGAGTCATCGACGAAAAAATAGTTGACCGTCTATTTTGACGGTCAATTCAAATCTTAGGCCAAATTTGTCCAATAATTTCAAAAGTGGGTCATAAATGTCTCATTTGAAAAATGGGGTCAAAACTGTCACTAACGCTAAACTTTGGGCCAAACTAGGGTATTAACCCTATTATTTATTTTTCATCATGACATCAATCACATGTATTATACATGACATTCAAAACGAAGTATCAAATACGAGTTAATATTTTAGTAAACAAACCTAGTTTGAGCTCGAATTTGACTCTGCTCGTTAATAAACGGCTAGAGCTCGACTCGTTTATTAACGAGCCAAGCTCAAACTAGTGTAAAACTCGGCTCGACTCGGCTCATTTGCAGCCCTAGTTACCATGCTACAAAGCAATATTCTACAATTTAACTTGTGACAATCGGGTGTGAAACATGTTTTTGAGGTTATCTCCATCTTTATGACTATTGGGCAAATTTGTGAGAGTAGGTGAATTAAGATTATATTTTTATTGGTGTTCATTAATTGTCGTTTTCTGAAATGATAGGATGTGTGAATTAAACGACGGAGCACACAATCCCAGCCGGTAACCAACGTGTATAACTACCACTTGAAAATTATCACATCTAAGGTGTTCAAATGGTTTCATTTTTTGTAGTTTTTTTCTTATTAGTCGAGCCGAGTTTAGTATGTTGGTTTTTTTTTTTGTTAATTAGATCTAATTTGACTATTGTCGGAGTTATTCATTTCGAAAAGTTAATGCATAGTTCACGATTCTATCACAACTTAATATCTTGATTTCGGGCTGTGGTACATACATCCTCGTCTGCAAAATCCCAATAGAGTGCTCACTCACACAACAAGTTAGTTGTAGTTGTCCATAAGTAAAGTGTCAAAATAATTGATACTCTTCCTCGCATTAAGTGTTTAAGATTTTTCACTCTAACCCAATGACACCTAAAAATAAAAATTTGTGCATATATTCATAGAATAGTGGCTAAGAGAAAGATAAAAGGATCATAGAAAGAAAAATGCTTATGTTAAACAAAGAGCACCAAACAAATGCTTCATGTCCCCCAAATCCACCTTCCCCCACTCACAATAAACAACATAAGAAATGGTACATAGCTAGTTCAGGCTTTGCTTCAAATTGGTTCCAAAGAATCTTATCCACCCTTTGTCTAGAAAGGCTTTTCATTCACTCTGTCCAAAGCTCAGCAACAACCAACAACAACAAGGTCCAAAATTTGACAAAACCAGAAAGCAAGGCAAATAAATGCACCACCCAATTGTCTACATGCAATTGCAAGGTGGTTGACATATCCATTTGGCCTTAATTTGGTGCTAAGTTCCATTCATCCTCTCTTGTCACATTTTCATGAACAAGTAGCAATGATGGTTCATTCTTGTTCTTGGTAGTTTGCCAAACACAACAAAATTAGAGGTGGCATATACATTATAATTTTGGGTTAATATATTTGTAGATTGGATTTGTTAATCGATTATATTTTTGGATCAAGTGGCATTAACTTTCTTGATCATTTTATAAAATTTAAGTTACCAAAATGTCATGGTATAAGGTGTTAAAAAGTAATTTGAAAGCATTTTTGTTGTAAGAAATCAATGCTTATGTAATGTAAATTATAATAGCTAATAGATATTGAATTGTAATTTTATTGATATCCATCCCAAAACTCATTGACCAACTATATCCATTAGATTTGATCAAAATAGATTTGAATTTGAATTAGATTGGTATTTAATGCATGCTTTAGATTGCCATTTGGATCTCTAAGCAAAACACTCCCTCTGCCTACCACATATAAATTTAGGACACTTACAATTTGTGAATAAAGAATAAAAGAGAGAAGACATAATGATTGACGATGAAGCTCCAATTATGTTAATTAATAAGAATAAGAATGGGGTTATTACTACTTGTTTAGGAAAGTTATTAAAGGTTGCTTGAGGACATAATTGAGCACCAAGTGACTCCCTCCATTCCTTCATTTATCAAATTAATAATGCGATTCCGGGGCCCTAATTAATCTCTTTAATAATTAGCTCTGTAATGTGCATCACTTATAATTAGTCTACCATATTGATAACGGGTTAAGATAAGGTGACTAAGGGGTACCCATAATCACTTGGCTAAGTCAATCTCAGCCTTCCATGCTCATTAAAATCCTAAGGCTACAATTAATTCATTTTAAGGAAGGACAACATAGTAATTATACATTTTAATTTTGTAATTAAAAAAAAAAAGAGTCCTTCCCTCACCTGTTTGTCGCACGCGGAGATGAATCCACAGAGACGGCGGCGGCCAGGAACGACGACGGCGAAGGACGACGGCGGCCAGAGACGACGGCAGTGAGAGATTAAGGTCGATGGCGTTCTGTGTTCGGGGGTGAGAGAGAGAGAGGCGGAGGTAGAGGAGAAGAGAGAGAGGCGATGGCGACCGTAGAGGAGAGAGAGCGACGGCGGTAGAGGAGAAGAGAGAGAGACGGCGGTGGCGGCGAGGAACAACGACGACGGCGGCGGCGAGGAACAACGACCGTGGAGGAGAGAGAGGCAGCGGCGGTTGAGGAGGAGAGAGACACCGACATCGCCAATTTGTTGGCGGCGACGATTTCGTAATTTTATCATTCCAGTTTGTATACTTTATGTTATGATTTGTACTGTTAGTATGTTTTGTATTGTTTGTCATTTTTTGAGATTTTTTGTACGTTTAGTATGCTTTGTACTGTTTGTCGGGTTATTTTGTAATGTTTGTACGCTTTGTTATTTTGTAATGTTTGTTGGTTTCTTTTGTATTGTTTGTAATCTTTGTATGACTATTTTGTATATATTGTAATTTGTAATTTTTGTTGCTCTAGTTTGTATACTTTTATGTTAAGATTTGTATACTTTGTATTCATTTGTTTGTAATACAAGTTTATCAATCTGTATTGTTAGTAGTGATTTTTTGTACGTTTAGTATGCTTTGTACTGTTTCTTTTGTAATGTTTGTTGGTTTCTTTTGTAATGTTTGTAATGTTTGTTATTTTTGTCCACATGTTTGTCATTTTTGTCAACCATGTTTGTAATGTTTTTTGCATCACAAATCAATACATATAAAGTATACAAATTATTAGTACTTACAATACAAAGCGACGTGATTTGCAGCACAAATCAATACATATAAAGTATACAAATTAATATTACAAAACATACAAACTATACAAACCATACTGACATTTTGTACAAAAATACTAACAATACAAAATAATGTTACAAAACATACAAACTATACAAACCATACTGACATTTTGTACAAAAATACTAACAATACAAACTAATGTTACAAAACATACAAACTATACAAATCACTGTTCTTCCTTCACCGCGTCGCCGTCGCCGCCGCCGCCGCCGCCGACTCTCTCTCCAGCCGTCGTTACCTCTCTCTCTCCATCACCGCGTCGCTTCTCTCTCCTCCATCATCATCGAAGCTCTCTCCGCCATCGCCTCTCTCTCCTCCGCCACGATCTCTCTCTCTCTCTCTACTCTGTTTCTCTGCGACGACGGCCATTGCTGCCTCTCTCTCTCTACCTTTCAATCGAGGTCGCCGCCTCTCTCTGATCCATCATTGTCGCCGCTGCCGTTCTCCGACAGACCCGCCTCTGGGTGTTTCTCTCTCCTCCACCACCGTCGCCGTTGACATCGAGCTCCTCCATCTTTCTCTCTCTCTCTCTCTGGACGGGAAAAGAGGAGACGGTTCGGTTGGAGAGGAAGGAAAAAAAGAAATAAATAAAACAAAACTGAAATTAGGAATTAATGAATTTTTGATAATGCCAAAACTACCCTTTTCATTTAATAATAATTTAACATTTTATCTGGACCATTAGATCAATCCAAAGGCTAAGGGGGGCTTAGTCAAGTGACTAAGGACCCCCCCCTTAGTCACCAGATCCGCTCTCTATTGATAACAAAGATAGATATGGATGATTGATATATTATGGACGGTTTGTGAAACACATTTATTACTTAATTTTTCAATACATACAAACCAACAGTCATTGATATATTAGTCACTAGTCTGATTTTTAATATAAATTTCAATCAAACTTTATAGCAAAAAGTTCATTTCATTTGTATCACAAGATGCATCAATTACAACTTTTAGAATTGTATTATAGATCCTAATTTCAAATTTTTATAACGAAGATCATGAATTTTTTACGAAATTGCGGATGGAAATGTGTCGCTTCACACACCTGCTCTTAACCTAGTTTCGCCCAAGGGCAGATCCAAGTGAAGACCCGGGGCACCTCTAAAATTTGGGAGAAAATTTAAAGAACCCTCAGTAGTAGTTTGAGTATGAGAAAAAGGAGGAAAAAATGATAGTAATGTATAACACTGTAGTTATTATTAAACATCTTTTCTATTTTACTACACTTCATTTGTTTTTTGTGATTTTGTTATAAATGTAATTATAAATGTGTAACCCTCATCATCAAACTTTCGGAGCCTAAAAGTGAACCCACGAACTACCCCTAATCCTCGTCCACGTCGTATTCTAATTTATAACACAGTTTTATTATGAAGAGTTTGGTCATATTTCTTATTCTTTTCTACTAATGATTTTGAGCATTGTTATCACTGTGTTAAAAATGATGAGTTATTTTGTAAATTAAATTAGTTGAGTTTATGGTAGAGAAAAAATTGAATCTAGCTACCATATACATGAGTATATTTGATTCTCAGAGTTGTATTGATTTTACTGATTTCAACTCCAAGTGTAGAGAGAGATTTTTCAGCTTTGGGTTACATCAAGAACAAGGTTCGAAATAGAATAAGTGATCAATTCGTGAATGATTGTCTAGTATGATATACTGAAAAATATCTGTTGAGCAATATAGACAGTGAGTAACACGTCGTGGACTTTTTGTCAATGATTGAAAAACCGTACCATACCGGCGGTTTGACCTGAAAAATCTCATTCAGTAGGCTCAACCATATGACAATATTTAGCGCTATGAAACAATTAAACCACGATTTCATCCTAAAATACCCTACTGCTAACTATTTCGGTACAACCTCCGATACGTTTTATAATCCTTACCTTTTGTTGTAATTTGTACTAATCCGATATTTTCTTATTGAAGTAATTTTTTTAACTTTAATTATTATTTTGATTTATTTCAGTGAGGGTTGGCCCGCCCGTTTGCAAACGACATTAGACTCAGTCGGCCTCAAACCAAGAGAAGAAAGGCCCAGCCCACGTAACCCATTTCAAAAGTGAAGAATCGGCGGCAGAAAAAAAAAATGGAGATGCGGGGTATCGATCCCCGTACCTCTCGCATGCTAAGCGAGCGCTCTACCATCTGAGCTACATCCCCTTAATGTTTATTTTTATGTAGTTTAAAATATGTAAAAACTATCATTAGGCCTGCTAAGACAATTACTAGTTGAACAACCATTCAGGATTCAGAATTAGCAGCTGGTACTGTTGCATTCATGACCATTTTCACAAATCAGACAGTTACTGTATTGGAGAAGGAGATCATCATGTGAATCAATCATTCATTCTCTTAAAGTTGCTTGAACATAACACAGTTCCATTGCATTATTAATGGTCGTGAAAACTAACATTTGTGACGATTAGTTGTAAATAGTCGTCGAAAAAGGTTTTTGGTGACTATACAAATGATCGCTAAATGGTTCGAGATTAGCATATAGTAGTCACCAGCTGATCAACTATTTTTCGACGATAATCTCTTTAATGACCATTAATTGTCCGCATTCGATACTAATTTGCTATTTGTTGATGATTTGAATTTGGACCACATCTATACAAACTTTGTGTTTTTCCATGATACTGTAGTATCTTAAATCATTTTTTCATTGTGTTAATTAATTGCATTATTATATTTATAGCGTTTCTCGAATTCACCGACGCACCAAAATTATACGTACATTTATATGATTTATTAGTTTTTTCCCATGTATTAGTAGTTTTACTGTTTTAGTTTGTCAGCCAGAAAATAGGGGAAAAGAAGAAAATTAGAAGGGAAAAGAAAGACAGAATCCAAAGCCCAAATTCAACTGCCGAATTGAAGAGGATTTTTCTATTTTTTCAGTTTCAATCTCTTCGTAGTCATCTTCCTCCTCTCTCTTCCTCTGGAAATCAAAAGCTTTGAAGAAGGGAATTGGGGACATTTTTCAAAGAAGAAAGGGGGAAATTCTTTTTTTTTCTTCTTCCTTTTCTTCTTCTCCTTCTTCCCCACCTCCCCCCGTTACCAGCTTCATGAAGAAAGACCAAAAATTTCTTCTGTGATTATTATTTCATTGTGTTTTTAGTGCAAAAATTCCAGCTTTATTTCTGTTGTAAACGACGATTATGATGATGCGCTGGTAAATTGCCTCTCCGCCTCCCTTTCATCGGCTCTGGTCATGATCGAATTTTACCCCTTTTGAGCTTTCAATTAGGGTTCAAATTTCGATTTTGACCGATCCCTTTTTTTATAGCCCCCGTCTCAATTTCCTTAATGGGTTTTGCTCGACGGGGACGAAGATCGTCTGGGTTTCGTTTGTTCATCAACTCGAGTTCTGGTTAAGGCTAGAGATTTTGATTCATCAACTAATTGGAACCGAGATATTCCCTCAAGAATTTTCATCGGGAGCTTTTTCGGTTTCGTTTTCACCGACAAAGCATAGCTTCGCGGAGGTGGTGGGGGTGATCAACGGCGGCAAATCGGAAAATTTGCTTTGCTGGGTGGTTTTTCGATGCCAATGATGTGTTAGGGTTTTGCATCTTCTCGATTGAGGAGGGGTTTATCCGTTGGGGAAATGAGAACGAGAGAGCACGATTACGATGCTGATTCATCAACTCATTGTTCTTGTGAATTCAAGGTTTTCGTTACTTCTGGTCTTCCTGCTGTGCGTTTCTGCCGTACGAAGCTTGGAGCAGAGAGATGTAGCAGAGAGATTAATCGTTGGGAAATTGTTCAACCCAGTGACAGAGAAGGTGGATGAGCCCTTGGTAAGGAGAAACCTCTCGTTTCTATTTTTGATTTATTCAAATGTGTTTAACCTCTAGTTGTTCATAACTTATAGTTCAGTCTCAAACCTAAATAGGTGTTGTTTGTTACAGGCAAAACTACTATGGGACACTTGCAAGCTAGATTTGATCCATTTGAAAGAGGGTGATGAAGATCTCAACTTGTGTTTCCTTGAGAAAACATCTGCAGGACCCGGTGAGCTCGATTCAAACTGCTGGTCATTGTCAAAACATAATATGCAGCAGTTGTTCAGGTCCCCGCGCCCACAATTGAGAAAAGCTCTGTTAGATTGTATAAGAAAGAATGATCTTTTGTATGTTATCTCTAGGGAGGAGGAACGTAGGTTTTCTATGCCATATATCAAGCACCTCACCTCCTTATTTTTTAAGTCCTCGATTCCTACCCGGAATTTGCCTGAAAACGCAGCAGAGCGTCCAACATCTGCTCGGGCTCCTGGACCATCAAGATCTTCTAGTGTGAAACCAACTTCAAGGAAACTTCATGCTGCGTCTGATGAATCCGAAGATGAAGGTGATGAGGCTGAAGAAACAACTGATCAGAAAGTTATTATTGCAGTGATTATAACGGCTGTATCGACATCAATATTTGCTGCTCTATTATTCATTTGCATTCTAAAAGTATTTGGAACAGGCCCTGATCCTGGGCTAAATGACGAGAAGCCACTCCTCAGTCTAAAACTGAGCGACTCTGGTTAGTATGTACCTTTTGATATGTTATGTTCTCCATTATCGTTAATATTAGTTCAGTACTCATTTTGAATTTCTGTGCGTTTTAGGTTCTTCGTACAAGTCTTTCAGTGTAGGGGGTTCTTTCACTGAAGACAAGCTTGGTTCTCAATCTTTAAACAGTAACTCAAGCCATCATAGAACAAATTCATCTGTAGATGGCAACATCCTCTCTGATGATGTTATCATTGGTTCAGTGGACGGTGTCGGCGGTGTTTCTAACTCATCTGAATCTACTGGTGCCTCTGTGACGGGTTCTGGTTTGCTACCACTTCCTCCAGGAAGGACAGCTGGTCTGCCTCCCTTGAAGCCTCCCCCAGGGAAGGCAATTCCTCTTCCACCCGAACCTCCTCCTCCTCCGAAAGCTCCTGCCAAAGCTGCTCCACCACCTCCTGCCCCACCTCCACCTCCACCATCAAAAACTTCTCCTGTCAGTGCGGGTCCTCCACCTCCTGGACCACCCCCTCCACCACCTCCTGCTCGTCAGGGCAAATCTGGTCCTCCACCTCCTGCACCTCCTCCAAAAAAAGGTGGTGCTCCTGGTCCACCCCGAGCACCAATGCCAGCAGGCCCAAAGGTTCCTAGAGCTCCTGGTATGAGAGGTCCGGAGGGAGATGATAGTAAAGCCAAATTGAAGCCATTCTTCTGGGACAAAGTTTCTGCTACTCCGGATCAGGCGATGGTTTGGCATCAGATTAAATCAGGATCTTTCCAGTGAGTTGTTGTCTCCTTTTTCTCTTTCCCATTTTGCTTTTTGCTACCTCTCATTTGTGCATCACCTTAGTGTTGCATCATCATGATGCTCAATTAATATTGCAGGTTCAACGAGGAGATGATCGAGAATTTATTTGGGTACACAGCACCTGAAAAAAACAAAGTTGAGAAGAAAAAAAACTCTTCTCAAGAACCTGCTTCGCAGTTTATTCAAATTTTGGATCCCAAAAAAGCTCAAAACTTATCAATTCTACTTCGCGCTTTGAATGTTACGACAGAAGAAGTTTCTGATGCCCTGCTTGAAGGTGATCGTCTGCCAACCATTCTAGGCAGTGGGATAGGGGTTGGGTTGTACTCATGTATATGGTTTTTGTTTGGGCACATGAATTTGGTCCAAGTGAACTCATATATGTTTAGACAAAAAACCGCAGTACTTTAGAACTGGAGTTTGATAGTTTCTCCTATGTTGTATTGTTATGTGTTGGGTGGTAAATGTGTTATATTTTTATTCAAAGCATCATGGTCTCGTTTGTTGTGTTAAAAGTTGCAAATTCTTTTTTTTTGTTAGATAATTTGTTTGTTTTTTCTTTGCTTATTCAGGAAATGAGCTTCCTGCTGAGCTCATTCAGACTTTATTGAAGATGGCACCCACATCAGATGAGGAACTTAAACTGAGGTTGTTCAGCGGTGAACTTTCTCAACTGGGCCCTGCTGAGCGGTTCCTGAAAGCATTGGTTGATATCCCTTTTGCTTATCATCGTATGGAAGCTCTACTTTTCATGGGCACTCTAGAGGAAGAGATTGCCAGTGCTATGGAATCCTTCAAAACTTTAGAGGTAATGCTAAATTTTATGTACTTGTTTACATGTTCTACGCTATTCATTTTTTTTTTTAAAATGGAAGTTTGTAAACTGAACTTCTTGATGCAATGTAGAAATATTTTCTTATCGACATGATGATAAGACATGTTTACACTCTATATTCCATGAGCAGCGATGGTAGATTTTTTTCTCATGCTAATTGTTTCTCAATTGACAAGGTAGAGAAGTGTTCATACGTCCATTTACAGGCATTAGTCCATGTGTCTGCTACTTTTGAACATTAGTCGGATAGAGGCATGGTTAGGCTTAGCAGATCAAAATTTTCCTTACTGCTAATATGTGAATGTTGGATCCATAATGATTTTGTTATTCCTCCTTGCTTTTTTTGGTTCATAGGTTGCTTCTAAAGAACTCAGGAACAGCCGGTTGTTCCTCAAACTTCTAGAAGCTGTCCTAAAAACTGGAAACCGAATGAACGATGGCACCTTTCGTGGTGGTGCACAGGCTTTTAAGCTTGACACTCTTTTGAAACTGTCAGATGTTAAGGGAGCTGATGGCAAAACCACACTGTTGCATTTTGTGGTCCAAGAGATAGTTCGTTCTGAAGGAGTTCGGGCTGCCCGTGCTAGGAGAGAGAGCATGAGCTTCTCTAACATGAGTGTAAAAACGGAAGATCTCCTTGAGGAGATTTCTCCTGACACAGAGGACCACTATCGCACCCTTGGTCTTCAGGTGGTGTCTCGTTTGAGCAGTGAACTGGAAAATGTCAAGAAAGCAGCAGCTATTGATGCTGATGGCTTGACAGGATCTGTATCTAAACTTGGTCATGCACAACTGAAAACTCGAGACTTCTTGAACAAAGAAATGAAGGATTTAGAGGAGGATAGCGGGTTTCATGAAGTGCTCAAGAGTTTTGTGCAGAGCTCTGAGGGTGAAGTCATGTCACTGCTCGAGGAAGAAAAGAGAATTACAGCCTTGGTAAAGAGCACTGGCGATTACTTCCATGGCAATTCAGGCAGGGACGAAGGGCTGCGGTTGTTCACCATAGTACGAGACTTCTTACTGATGTTGGACAAGGTGTGCAAGGAAGTAGAGGCAGCGCAGAAAAAATCAGCCCAGAAAGCACTTAAGAAAGAGACTTCTACTGCATCATCAACTTCCAGTACTACTACACAAAGCCAACCTCCTCCTCCTACCGATCCTCGTACAAAACTTATGCCTGCAATCGCAGAGAGACGGCCCCAAAATTCAAGCTCAAGCTCAAGCACGGAGAGTTCAGATGACGATAGTGAATGAGAAGTTCTTGCACGAGAGGTTTGACCGTGATCGATCTTCAGGGATCATCACGCCCTCCATTCTTACCTAGGTACGCAAACATCACCAATTCTTTTGGCACTATTCTATCTAGGATTGCTGCCATGAACGAAGTGAAAGAAGATGAAAAATTGCATTTTGAAGCCCTGCTCTGCTGGTCTTCTATGCCGCGGGTGAGCAGTTTATATACTAGGGGAACCTCAATCAGGAACTTGAGCCATGTTCATGATTGGGAGGTTAGTTCAGGCAGATATGACCGGATGCTAACTTGTGCATAGCTAGGAAATATTCCATTGGTGTTTAACCTTTTCAAAATTTTACCTTACTTTCTTTGTGCCATAAGTGTAAAGATTCTATTCGTGTTTTTTGAAGAGAGGAAAATTGGCCCTGCCTTCTGTGGTGTGGTGCTTCAGTCGTTGGAAGATGAGAAGCTAAGCTTGTTTTTCAATTGATGAGTATTGGAGAGTAATGTTTTTAATTATGTTCGAAGACATTTGGTGTATACGTACGAGGCTACTATACCCCTATGAGTATTTCACAATCCATGAGAGCGTACTATTCGAACTTAGGTACTACTAGCTTTTTACCCGACCCGTTGGTCGGATGAATTTAGTTTTATTTATTATATTTTTATATTAATCTATTTTTTCATATTTTCAAATAATTTGGGATCGTCTAAATAATTTATTAGTGGGTTGAAACTAATATTTGTGCGAATTATTGATTGTAACATTAGTTAGTTTATAAGTATTTGTATTGATCATGCTATCGCTTACTGTTGTCTATATATTTTTTACATCTAAGAAAAAAATCACTTCCTATTGTTAGAATAAATTACTTAAGAAATATTTCTTCATAAAATTTGATATTATTCACTTATTTTTCTATTATATCCATGAAAATAAAATAATTAAGCATTGAAGTATTAATTATAAACTCCAAGGGATTTTCCCTATTAGTAATTTGGAGGGATAAAAATTTATCAAATAAAGGATTCAAATTTTATGGTCGACAACCATTAGGTACTAATTGAGAAAATACAAAATTATTAACTAATAATTCACTTTTAAATAATATATATCTCCAAAAGCAGTTGTGGTTGTTAATAGCTAACATTAATGTATACGGATAGTACAATTGTATTATAATGGACATATCTGAAATATTCCAATTATTTCTTCAAAATTTTAATTAAATAAGGCACTCTATGGTTCAAACATACAATCATTTGTTGTGAAAATTAAGTTTCTGAAAAAGATTCATGATTTTCGAAAATCAATATGGATTTTTTATAATTTATTTTGGTGTTGCCTTTGATATCTAAAAGTCAACACTTATAGATTTGTCTACTATGTCATTTGAAAGATTCTAAAAATTTATAACAAATATGTACCACCAACAAATAAAAACTTTTTTGTCAAAAATTTGTGTGCCCATAAATTTGTTCTTAGCTTTGTGCTCGGCTTTTAGCTCGATAGTATAACATATGCTAAATTTACGACAGTCCTTGTGTCTGCCACCTATTTCATAGCATATTAGGTTTCGAGTATCCACAAATATTAGTACGCTTTCAACAATTATGTTTATAGTTACACGTATACTAACATTATGAAGTGAAAATTTACAACAATAAATAACTATAATAAAGAAAATTAATTAAAAAGAATACCATCCGTAAAGCTCAAGAATTATTAGTGAATTAGTTGGTAATCTATTATCCTCTTGCAAAAAAATGGACAATTACATTATGCTCATCGCTATTTTTGGAAGGTCATATGATCAACAATAAAAGTCGGGGAATTTCAAGAAGATTCCCAAAGATGTTTCCCTCCCTCCAGGCAAATGATCGACTTTGCTTTTGCTAGTAGAGAATGGAGCTGTTATACCTGCATAAAACAATGTCTCTTGAAATAGTGTTTATTTTCAACAGCTTGCACAATTCCAAATTGATTCATAGGTCAACGCGATCACATATTTTATTGACTTATCTGTTGATCATTATAATTAAAAGCAACAAATAAAATGAAAAGCATAGTGATAAAGATGACTATTAATACCATAGACCGATAGACGCATCCCTCTTCGCTACTTTCTGTTGGCAACTACGGAAAAATAGAAACCTCTGGGCCTTCGAGAGACTATTGGCGCCGACAACCCAGTTAGCCTACCAAATCCGGCAAATGCGAGTGCAGATTGATCAATCTTCCAGGAGGATTGGGCAGGTTCTCGGGGAGGCTACAGAGCGGGTGGAAAGGGGAAATAGAATAGGGTTTGGGATTTTCACAAAAAGGCTACAATTTCCCCTTTATTAGTTGTTCTGGGCGTCGCCCACCAAAGTGAAAACGCGTCTCCGAGTGCCCAGGTGCCTAGATCAATCGCCCAGAGCTAGACTGGGCGATTTCCTCCTGCCCAGCTATTAATCGCGCCTAGGCGAGAGATTAATCGCGTCTTCTTGAACACTGAATAAAAGTGGACCAAACAAGACTGGGCGATTGATCTAGGCCCAGCTATTAATCGCGCCTAGGCGAGAGATTAATCGCGTCTTCTTGAACACTGAATAAAAGTGGACCAAACAAAGACATTACATCCAACTCATTTCAGTTCCATCTTAACACAGTATCGGAGGCATGTACTATTATTATACAAATGATCTTACGCTCTCAATTAGGAACTAAACGAAGGTTAAATGCTTGATTGGCAAACTAAATCGATGAACCTAGTGATCTTAAAGAAAAAATTAATGATCACATGATTTCTTGGACCAAACTACTAAAGGAAAAAAAGAAAAAAGAGACCGTACATTAGCATAAGAACTCAACAAATTACTTATAAGAACTAATGACATAAGGAAAATGTAAACTCAAACCGTTCTTCCGAAGGTCATGGATTAAATCATTAGTTGTCGATTACATAGCCTAAACTGCAAGTTATATCCAAAATAGAGGCAATTTAGAAACAAAAAAGTTAGATAAGAAAGCCGTGAAACACAGAAAAATTGAGTGAACAAAGTGGAAAGTATTGCTTTCAATTAAGCTTGATTATGTTGACATAAAGCAGGCACACATTGACGTTGGAAACCTAAACAAAAAGCTTAAAAAGTGGCAAGAGAATTCTTCCCTTGAGGTTCAAATATAGCCTACCTATATGAGTAGAGCCAAGTAATTACCATGATTCCATTTTACACATACCATCTCACAACCAACTACTGCTAATGCTCTGGTCCGTTCCCAACCTCACCTACTCATATCTCCAATTTCGGTATAATGACGGTGGCCAAACTGTTTACCGTTTACCGATACCGGTTTGTAACCGGTTTACCGATTACCGAATTACCGGTAAACGGTTACAAACCAGTTTACCGAATTACCGCAAATTTCACAAAAAATTTGAAAACAGTTCTGCAAACTAAATCCTCTCTTAAACCCTATTGTACAAGAACGGACTCGCTCTAAAGTTCGCAACTTCTAGAAACCCATCAATGGCGGAAGCTAGTATCCCTGAACTGCATGACCCCAGGCGAGAGATTCTTCGTGGCTACGAGCTTCGCCTCCTTCGCTGCACTTACTCTTGTCCATCTCAACCCCAATCTTCTCCATCTTCCGACATTCAACTGCCCACTACTAAGCTAAACGAACCCATCAATCAAGTTCTCACCTTTATTGAGAAAAGGAACTATTTCCAAGCTCTTTCCTTAGATATCGCTGCCGAGCTCTTCTCCTTTGGGTTTACAGGTGAGAACAAGGATGACACGAATGGCCGAGTTTGCTCGGAGTTGCTGGCAAACGCTGAGCGGTTTATAATGAATGGAATTGATAGTAACGACGTTGAAGAAATTGCCTTCAGAGCGTTCCGCCGTTCCCCATTCGGTATTTACCGATTTACCGACCGTAAATACCGACCCTGTGTCCGGTAAATTGGATCGTCGCCGCCGCAGCCGGATACCGATACCGACGGTAATCGGTTTACCGTTTACTGACCGTTACCGGTTCGGTAAAACGGTAAACCGGTTACCGTATTACCGATTGTTAGCCCTAGTCACTGCTTTCGCCACTGACCACCAAAACGTCTGGTCGTCTTCCCATGAACTCAGCAACAGCCGGCCGTCAGCGCCTTCCTCCGCTGAACACGAAACTGTGACGCCCTCTTACCAGAATTTTCCGATGGAAACTGATTCTCCTCCTGTCCTGCGGGTAGGCGAAAGAATAACGTGGGAACCCAGTAGAAAAGGTGGTATTTCAGCCAAACGAAAATTAAATGAAAAATAAATAATAACTAAATGATAACGTGGGAAACCAGGAGAAAAAGGTGGGTAGTGGACGATTCTTAGTTCTGCAATCTGGCGGGGAGTTATATTTTTTTCCCGCTCAACACCCTGCCACATCAGCTTCCTAAAATCACTCTATGGACAGGAAAATTTGAATGGGGGTGGCGGTTTTACTTTTCAGCTATAAATTATACTGTTGATTCGAAATTGGGACCTCCAGGTTCACTACTGGATCAAGTCTTTGTTTGTAACGACTCCTTCTCCTTGTGCTATAGAATAGTCATGCTAATTTGTTATGATTAACTCCTTGATCCGGGGCATTCTATTGAAAATTAGTTGCAATGGATATCTAATTTATTTGAGAGCGTCCACGCATTTCATAAATTAAATGTTCAACGGGACGACATATTGATGTCACTATCACTGCAAAAGGAAAGCAAAAAAATATCCTACTATCACTGCAAAAGGAAAGCAAAAAAAATCCTACGCCAAACCATTGTCACACTTATCCATACCCAATTCCACTTTAGTATGCATCCAGTTAATGGTCACGAAATATTACAAGTATGAAGAAGCGACTGGAGTCCACTCGTACTGGCCAGGCTAGTAATTTTGTCAGAAAAGAAAGTTGATCCACTTTTTTTTGCCCGTTTTCTCTTTACTAGTAAGGGGTTCCCGTGATTCCTACGTCTCCGCCTTCCCTGATCTTTTCCTTTCGGTACTTCGACACGAATTCCAAAAAGTAATATCAATTTTGTTAATTTTGCAACAAATCACCATGTTCACATCTTCACTACCATCATTGTCACCTAAAAACATTGTGGTCACAACTCACTAGTCAAACACATCATGATCAAATTCGACCTACAATTAACCCATCAAGCTGCATTCTAATTTACAATCAAACAAATCGCCTACGATTCGACACGTGGTCCTAAAACTGCATGACACGTGGCGCGGCTCTCAACAAGCTCCCCAGCGCATTCGACTCAAACTTCCTGGCAAACATATAACAATGCGACGTCTCCCTCCCGTTGTAAACACACCGCGTGCCGTTCCTCATCCCTTCCAACAACCGCAGCGTGACGTCCTTGCCCGAGAAGCTGCTCGGGTGGGGCCCGCCCCTCGACCAGTCGGTCCACGTCAGCGTGCGGTTGGAGTTCCGGCGGCCGAACCCCGTGACGTGGACGAAGGTGGGGAGGTAGTGCTCGTCGCCGTAGCAGAGGCCCGTGCAGTGGCGCTGGAAGGCCGGGAAGTAGGCCCGGTCCGAAACCATCTCGACGGCCAGCTTCCGGTCCATCTCGAACCACTGGGCGCCCTTCCGCCACTGGGCCGGCCAGATCTTGGGCCTCATCCGTGGGCTGTAGCGGCCCCGGCCCACTGGGCCCGGGAGGTCGTAGAGCTCCACGAAGGTGTGGGCTGAGTCGAGGAGGTAGTTGTAGACGGTGGTGAAGTTGAAGAGCGGGATGCAGGATTCCGATAAGAGGACGAAGCGGTGGTTGGCGGAGTCGAGGAGCGCGTTGGCGACTAGCCGGCGCTCGGCTTCGATCATCGACGGCAGGCCCCAGCCGACGTCCTGAATCAGATAGCAAAACCCAATTAAGCGGCAATGATTTAATTTAACCCTACACTTTCACTAATTTGGTCAAACCGGAGAGTTGACCGACCGACCTTACTCGGGATCCTCCGGCCGTGGAAGACGGAGTCGAGGGGATCGGTGTGATTGTAATTAGGAAGGTTGTGGACGTAGACGGAGTAGAATCCCTCGTGCCCTTTGAAGAAGAGCTCCCACAGCGGCGCCAGCGGCAGCGGCCCTCTCGTCAGGAACATGAACGCCACCTTCGCCGCCGGCCGCGGCGGCGATACATTAATCCTCGGAACCATCGAAGCCCTCCGCAGCAGCTCCTCGTCGTCCATGTCGTGGCACACCGTGCAATTCCGCCCTTTTTCACTCCGCCGCCGCCTCGAATCGCCGGCGCCGCCTTCCTCCGCCTCCACCGGCGACGGAGGGGACACGGGTGAAGACGGCGTCGTTTTGGTTTCCTCCCGCGAATCAATCGCCAAATGCGGCGTGGAGGAAGAGGAAGGTGTGATGACGGAGGAGGAGACGGAGACGGAGACGTTTTGGGCGGCGGCCGGAGGGTTTTGAGTGGAGAATTGGTAGAGGCGGAGGTAGAAGGAGATGTCGCGGAGGTAGAGGCAGGCGGTGACGCCGAAGGCGAGGCCGCCGACGAAGAGGAGGAAATACAGAACGAAGCTTTGGAGCTTCTTCTGGTCGCTCTTCCTCTTCATTTCCCTCTTCTGGGTTTAATTTCTTTCTTTTGTTTTTTAAATTGGGGGGGATAATTTTCTTCAAATTATTACCCCAATTACGAAGAAAAGAAATGATGGAAGGAGGAGGAGAGCCTGTGTTTTCTTTGTTTCTTAATTCTTTCCTTTTCGGTTCCTGGTGGGGTTTTTTGAGTGTTGAATCTAATTAGTTTCCTGGGTTTTGTAGTTGATTATTCAATTAAAAAAAATGCTAATTTTGACAACTAGTGTGTAGGTTGCTGAGGGAATTGGAGAATTTGAATATTTGAAATGTTCGGTTTTTGGCTTTTCTGTGAATGTAGACAAAAAAATATTTTGAATGAGCGGGGAGAGGAAGAAGATTCTTTGTGGAATATTGGAATGATGATGAGAATAATGGTTAATCGGAATAATTTTATTTTGTAATTAGTTATATATTTATATATGGTAAAGGCTCACGTAATTATGTAGCATGGTATACTCTATGCGGTCTGGAGGTTTCATGTGTTTCGATGAATTTCGATCAATCAGAAGCATCAATTATAAATAGTGCATGAGTATAGAGATCACACTAGGGACTGGCTAGATCGGGTTGGAACGTGAGGCTTACCAATCAAAACGTCATTAAAATACTCGTTAGGTTTTGGAAGAACGAAACCAATTAACTCAACCGAATGGGCCATTCGTGTGTACGCATGAGTACCCATGGCTATACATATATATACTCGTGAATAATATCCTCTGAACAACCACGTTCCTTTATTATTAAAATACTCCCACAACTACACGTCATAAAGTGACAACGTCTAGTAACATTCACGAAATATTCATAAAAATTACGCTAAGTTGAATATACCAATTTTCATCCAACACTAATCGGCTCCGAAACCTAAGTACTAAACGGTGTCGTTTTTTTTTTTTTATCATTGATGCATGTCAGGTGAAACGCAAGCGAAATTTTAGCCAAACACATATATGATAGATAGAATCCATCAGTTTCAAAAGAGAGGTTAATCTGCATCCGTTCCGAAACTCCGTCAACTTTGGATTTTGGTGATGAGTGTACAACTGTTTAGTAGCTTAACCAAGACAGATGAAGATTACTGTCCATATATGAGTTTGCTTCATCATAGTTTATACTTCGTCAATGTCGTTTATGTACCTTAGCTATACGTAGCTATTTCTTCTGTGATCAATGTGGACTCTGTGGACTGGATGCTCAATTTTGGAGGCTCTGCATTTTCCTCACCAAGACCAGAGACTTCCCAAATTTCTCCTGGCCATATCGAATCTGTTTGTTCTTATGGAATATTAGAGAAATGAATTGAGTTGCGTCGTCCAATGCCCAACACAAAGCAACAATGGCGGGCATCTACTCTGACCAAACGATGAACCAGCTACAGACCAAGAAAAAACCAGGCCAGAACCTCTCTTGGAAACCCTAGTTTGCGTTCAACACTCGAGGCTCCGTGGTAAGGAACCATGGCACCGTGGACTGATTCAGAGTCATGCGGGAGATCGAGACCATGGCCTACTCTGGGAACTCAGGGAGCTGCATGATTACTCGAGCTGAGGGGTGATATTCGTAAGCTCACGAGCGGATCCTTCTCGTGATTCACATACCGATCCTCCTGAGTCCCGACCAATTGTTCAGATGAGGAACATCGTCACCAGGCCAGTCATGGTCATGCAGCAAGTTTTCGTACGCGTTTAATCGATTTGAAACGATCTGGGTTCTTGCCTTCTTGGTACTGGACTAATAGCATGGTGTGTCGGGAGTCGTCTCTGTGAGACTTGCAGATAATACAACTTGTTAGCTTGTGTATACACTCATTGAGTATGTGTTGTTCTTCGTTTAATTGCTTGCATATTACCAATCACATCGACACTGGGAAACAAACAATGAACGAATCTCAATAGATCGAAACGCCAGCTAATGAACACAACAAAACGGTAGAGAAAAAGAAGAGCAACTCAAGACAACATTAGCTAGTGAAGTGAGCGATTCAACACTGAGATTTGGCCAGAGTCTCCGTCTAACAAGAACACTTCAAGAGGAACGTAAGGAGAGCCGTCCATTACCGATCCAAATCTGTACGTCGGCTGCAATATTTTGCTACCTTTCCCGCACTGAACTGCCAGAATACGTCCTCCGGTTCTCATTTGCCACACCTAATTAGAGATCATTAAGGTTCAGAATCCTACTCGATAGTATGCCTAAGAATCCGACACGACAAGGAAATGGAAAGCTTAATTACCTCCACGATTCCTTTCCGTGGTGCATGAATAGCAAGGCAGAGGCAGTAATCACTCTTCACAGGTTCATAATAAGATGAAGAATGGCTTCCTGGTTTATCCTTATTAATCAGCATTTCCATGAACAAACAGCTAGCATCACGATATCCCTGGTGTACAAGTTAAGTTATAAAGATAAGATCACAGATGCTCGGCGTACAAAAGATTCTGAAACTTAAAGAGAGGGAAATGGGGAAAAGACCTTCCATAGTCTGACCACTACTAAGGCTTGAGTGTCTAACAGCAATATACGGCCAAGAGTGTCTGTAATTGCAGCCAAAGTGCCGCTGGGTGACAAGGTTAATTTCTCCCCTTTCCTTGGCTTATCTTTCAAGCAAGTAAGAACAGATGCTGCCATAACAAACAAATGGTGTTAGCAAACTTAAACAACATGACCTTTGAATCAATATACATGATACCATCTGGAACCCAGAATGGTGAAACGAACTGCAATTATAAACCTGATAGCGACAGCATTTTCATTAATGAGAGGAAATCGCATAAAGGCTCAAAATTCAAAATGGAAACAATAGTCTTAAACAACTGGCAAAGGGTCTTCAAACATGGAAAAGTTTAGAATATAAGCCATGCAAGGTGCTTATATCTGATAGAGAAGCAGTATTAAAAAGGCTAAAACGCCTTACCTTTGGCAAATGACTGAGTTTTGGCTTCTGACTTTTTGGGTGATGGTTGTTCACTCCGCCATATCATTTTAGAAAAAGAAGTTATTGTTGAATATGCTGCAGGAACAACTTTTGACAGAATAGCACCAACTAAAGACCTGCTCCTGTCCTCCGATAATCTTCACCAAAACGTGAGAGCAATTGGTCAACATGAGAACGTAATATAAATGTATACATAAAAGAGTTTTTCATTCATCGTATTAATGCAGAACAACCATGCTCACCACAAGCTCTAAACTGTCTATACCCTCAAATAGGTACACAAAGTAAATAGGATTAAGGATGGCAGAAAAAGATAAGTTTGTCTAGAAGCAAACAATGGAGAAGAATGAAAGTGGAGCTGCTAATACCTCTACAAAATATAAAGTTCATCAGATCACCACCATGTACTCTTAAGACACTATAACTTGTGAAAGTTACATAGTAATATATCCAGTTCTCTCCCATTCAAAGAGACAGGTTTATGGTACGACTGTACAATTTCTTTTATTCCCTTTTTCCGCTGCAAGAACCCTTCCTGCCAGACAATGTCAACAATATCCACCTTCTCTCTCTCTCTCATCTATTCTACTTCCCTTCAGATCTGCCACTCCAACCCTCAGGCAAGAAAGAAGCAATAAATTCTAAACTGATTCAGTAAGGTGGCACCGTGGCAGGAAGGAATCAAAGACATTGGATTTATGATTCTTGTATTATTCTGGGGGGTGTATTTTTGTCATACTGGTAAGTTTAAGAGTTACGACCATTCATTTTAAACAAGAGAAAAAGTTTGTATAGTTATGATGTCATCCTCCCAATGGCCACACTTACAATGGCGGCTACATTTTAGCACATTTCCTTCAGTTTCTAAATTTTGGCCAAAACAATGAAGGGATTCACCATATAGGCACAGATAACAAATTAAGGGATTCACCATATAGAGCAGCACTTATCATGTGATGATGGAGACAGAAGATAATCCTCCTCTCCTTTATCCCTAATTAATGGCTGAGGAATTATGGGTGAACTTGAGTGGTGGAATGGAATTGGAGTGACTGCTTACGGGGCAATAGGCCCTTTAACTGGCATACAAATGCCAGAGACATAAACAGAAGGTCACACAACTAAAGGAAGGGTCATATACTCATGTTCAGTTTGAGGATGAGCTAGCGTGTGATGTACTATCAGTTCTGTGTTTCCTTTCCTTATTTTTTCTCCTTCCATTTGTCTTAATGAAATCACTCATCAGTGTTGCCTCAACTACTGGTCTGAAAGAATAAACGGCACAATTCTACATCGGAACTGATAATTTCACTTCAGCATTGTTATGCATTATTGCAGGATCAATCGTAAAAGAACAATGGCAAGGAGGATAAAGTAATGGCCAAACTTACTGACCTGTAAGCAGCAATTACCGCATCCTCTCCAACAGTGACTGCACAAAAGTAACGCTGACTGGACTGCCCTTCAATAAAAGCAGCTGAAATCAATTTACCAGCACAAATACATCACCAGCAGTTCTAGACAAAACTAGTCACTCTACACTAGACCTAAAAGCCAACAAAAGGAACTTAAAACTGTTATGAACATCCTCGGTCATTCACCCCGGGAAACCAAAAGAGCATCCACAATCAAAGAGGCAATTAATGGTGAACATCTTCAAACCAAAATTGCTAAATTGTGGACAGGAAGGAGCTCAAGATTGCTAAATTGCAGACAGGAGAAAGAGCTCAACATTCCATATGCAGTGTTTCCAAGAACTGGACTGAATGAGGGGGAAAAAGGTATAAATACCTGAACTTCAAGAAGTGGTGGTGGCATTACTCCAGTAATCGCAGCATCAATACACAATCCATGCTTATTAACGCTCCATAATTGATAAGGTAAAGCTTTGCGAGAGCCCCCTTGGTCCTCTTGGTCTCTCTTTCTTGAAATGTCATCCCAAAACCGGGAATTCACATCTTGAAACCAATCTCTAAGCAATTCCTTCAGGCATTCAATCAACCAACCATGGAACGGGTAAACAAGTCATGTTATGGTCAATCATCCATCAAAAGGAAAACAGAACACATTATTGTCCTCCAAGCATACACAGAAATACCTGAATGACAGTGCCATCGAAGCGAGCAATAACGCCTGGCATAACAATGGAAACCTCCTCCGCTAGGGAAGTATCACTCATCATATCTTTCTTAGTTCCACGGACCCTCAATTTCAAAATTCGCCCTGAATAGACCAACTGCAAAAGCACCACAATTTGTCAAATCCCAAGCACCCAAAATGCTATCATGAAAGAAGAGCAGAATAATTTGACAAAAAGGGTTCAGCAACCTGTCTATGAACCAACTGGCCATCCAAAGTATAAACCAGCAAGTACCCACAAGAAGTTCCCACTGCAATGGCTCGAACCTCATCAAAAACCAGCCACTCCATTGCAGTGATGTGCTCCGACTCGATCGGGGACAACTCCGGGCGGATCTTGAAACCAGGGCCACCGTCCCATCCTGTAATCACAACGAGGAACTTGTTGGCGAGGGCAATCGATTGCGTGTCAAGTGCGCAGAGAAGGTTGGGATTGTCCACCAGCCATCCTTCCTTTCCGGCCCCTAGTTCGTCGAGCTCCTTACAAGCTATACATCCCAGTTCCCTGGTGTGGCTCCGCCTCGACATGGCCGGGAACCGGCTACGCCGTGTGATTTGCAGGCAGAAATTGCAGAGGGAAAAGAAGGAAGTTTGTATTTGGATAGGGGAATTCAGACGGAGCTGCAGCAGCGGGATGCAGTTGGATTGGAGATGAGAAAAGGAAATTGAATCGTTCCAGTGACGTTGCTTTCCTGCACAAAGCTAAAATGTTGCGATGAAGGCAATATTGAGAATCGACAGAGGAAAGCACGGCGGCGAATGATGGTGACACGGTGGTTTAGGAGATTCTCCGGCTGGGAGCCTGGGACTAAGGTTAATAAAGTAATAACACCAAGCTGGTCAAACCGGTTTAATGATCGGATCAGATTCAAAATCTTTAATACTAAAAAGAGTATGCATATATTTAACATATTTCCAAAAAAAAAATCTCGTTAATTTACATTCATATATTATCAAATTATTTTTTTCAAACAAAATATATATTACAAAATTATCAATCCTCATCTTCAAATGCAGTTTTGACTAGTCAGACCATCCGATTTTAACTGGTTCAACCTGGTTTTGACTGATTTAACCCAATTTTGATTTTTTCATAACCGTCCATTTAAAGTGTATTTCAACCGTTTAGATTATCGGTACCAATCACATCTGGTTGAACCGGTCAGCCGAATACTGGTTTGACAACCTTGAATAACACTACCTGGCTATAATATGTACCTCAAGTAGAGATGACAATTTTGTATCTAATCCACCAATTTTGTATCTAGCATTAGGTGTCTCCCAAGAATAAATATGTTCTAAAGTTTGCACAATTTAGATTCTAATGTCTCACAATATTCTATAAGTAGCTTGATGAAATTGACGTTTGCTTCAAGGATTTGGTACATGGATTTGGTACAAAAAAACCAACTATCAAGGATTTAGGTACAATCCGTTGTTTGCTTGCACCTTTTTTGGAGACCAAATCCGTGGGGCCCACGGATTTTAAGGGTCCAAATCCGTGGACCCCACGGACTTATAAATCTCACATGTTGATGTGGGATTTGAAATATAGCATAAATCCTTGATGAGATTTTACCCATATACTCTCATGCACTTTTAGGGGTCGTTTGCTTGTGGGATTTGGGTGATGGATTTGGAACCCAAATCCCAAGCATCATGGAGTTGACACAAATCCTTTGTTTGTTGAGGGACACAAATCCGTGGGGTCCACGGATTTGGATCTCTTTTTTAGATCCAAATCCGTGGACCCCACGGATTTGTAAATCCCACAATTCATTTGGGATTTGACAATAGAAGGAAAAAATGTGATACAAATCCATGATAAAAAATCAACTAAACAAACAATGTACTCTTCCAAATCCATGATGCAACAAATCCATCATAAATCCAAAGGTTCTTAAAACTCAAAACCTTCATTTTCAAATCCAACAAGCAAACGAGCCCTTAATATTCCAAGGTTGCCCTCAAATTTAACTATTATACATTATAATTAACAATAAATGAATAATATAAACGTTCAATTAATGTGCAAACATGAGTTAGATTTTTTATATCATTTCTTGTGTTCTAGTTTTCTTTGACCTTTTCATGGAACGTGTAATTCTTTGTTCTCCCGATTCTAATATATGTCCATGTGGCAACATTATGCTTATTAGTATGTATTGTCCTTGTTTTGTGTACATATCATAAACATGTCAAACATATAGAAAATGATAGTAAGGTAATTTTGAAGTTTTGTCATTGTTTTGTGTACATATCATAAACATGTCAAACATATAGAAAAGGGTAGTAATGTAATTTCTGACTTCAAGTAGTAAATCCCACACCTTTAAATCCATGATAAAAATATCCCAACAAACAAAGGATTGTTACAAATCCATGATGCCTCAAATCCTTGATAAATCCTTGGGTTTTTAAATTACAAAACCCTCATTTTTAAATCCATGAAGCAAACGAACCCTGAACATCGACTCCTGCGGCTATGATTGCCTTCTTCCTTTTGGGGCACCTTGTCATGACCTACAACTAGACAATAGGGTTCTCAAAGAAAATAAGGAAGTGACCCAACAATAAAGATAATAGATGGATACTGATTAGAACGAGGGACATGGGGGAGAGAATAACGTAGTTGGAAGGAGGAAGTCAGCAGGTCAGCTTAGATGTATTTGTTTAGGGTTAAAGCCAATGTGTTTATATAGTCGATCTCGTTAGCCTTTGCCCTTAACGCTATCATGGCGAATACAGGTGCTTTGTTATGTGAAACTATAAGTCTGACTAGCTTTTCTTACTTAACATGCATTGGTTGGCTATCAGTTCATAGATCATACAATGTAGGATTTTAGCATACTTATATATGCAAGTCAAGAGCCATAGCAAAAGAGAGCAATCATGCCCTATCTTAATAACTCTTGTGTTCCTTTCTAGGTATTATGTGATGTCTGTGAATGGAGGTTCTATGAGACTCTGATCTTAGTCTGTAATCCGAGGATACTTTTATTCCTACCACTTTGAATAACTTCTAAGTTCTAACTCAGTCAGCCACTTCATTTTAAAATTTGTTTGGCACATTGTGATCGTCTTTTGTAATAGCTTATTCTTTTGTATCTAAGTAAGAATTGTACATGTTTTATGGTAGGAGGGACATGGTGGTGACGATCCTAAACATAGCACTGCCTATATGATAGCTTTTGTGAGTTTTCAGTTTTCACGAACACATCTATGAAAAAGTTTCTACTCTCCAATGCAGTCATCACTTACAGAGTCTTGCTTTCTGTTTCACTGTAGGTGCAAATTTGCTTCATCAGATGGTTGGTCTTGCAATGCCAAGGCTTTTGAGACTTTTTGGAACTGCCTTCTTTCACCATTTGGGTGATATTTCGTACTTAATCTTGATTACTCGCGTTCTTAAATTTTTTTGGTTGATTTCGAGTATCAGTGACTATTTTGGGATGGTTGTTGTGGCTCTTCCAATTAGTGATGGTTTGTATATTGGATACTGCTACGTATTCTTTTGGGGTCGTGGTTGTGCAAATGGTTGTCCTCTTTAAGTTTGATGAAACATGCAGTAAATGGCTGCCCTCATTGTTTGTTAGATGGTCAATTCCTTATCGCCTCCAATTTAGTAAAGAAACCATATTTCATTAACCCATCATGCCCACCCACCTCAAATTTAGTTAATGCTGGGTAATATATGCTGTCAAATGTCTACAATCATCACAAACTGGTCGGTGAATTGTTATTAAGTTTTGTGAGTTGTTGTTAGTATGATTTTGACTTGGGAAATTAAAACCACATATATTTGGTGATTTACAAGCTGTGAGGGGCATTTCAGACACGGGGGTGTAAATCGGTAGGCAAAAGCAAGAGTAGCCTTATTCGTTTACGTTGAATTGTATGCTTACTTTTTTCATATACGAGACCCCTACTGATATATCTTCCTAATTTGGGTCAACAAAGGTCAACAGTAGCTGCTGTCACAATTGAGAGGAGATGAGGGGAATTTAGGAACGAACTTGCCTCGAAACTTGAAGAGAAGAGGTAATGTAAATGTATAGATTGTGGAGCAACTAAATGCGAGTCATGTGCTAACGATAATTATTCTAGCAAATGAATCCAAAACATGTCAGATATGTGCTTTAAACCCATGTTCAGTTCCGGGCCTTCCGCCCTTTTTTCAGTTTCAGAGACTGAGTTCTTTCTATTTCCATGATGTTTTTCTGCATTATTTGGTCAATCTTGGAACCATCAAGACTGTGTTTGAATGGCAGAAAAATGTAGTTGTCATGAGCTATCTAGCTAACTGAAACAATTCAGTATAATTAAGATATTCTATTTTGGGCATTATGATTTAATTGTTTGTGTATTATTGTTGTCAAATTGGTGAGTAGTCTTTGGTGTTCTTGCAAGTCCGAGAATACATTGATGAAACAGGAGCACAGAGAATTGGAGTGCCTCTCCTCCCAACCAATTTCCCGAGCACCATACTCCTCATCTCAACCACAAAGCCGTCGAACCATCCTACCCACGGGGAAGAGTCACTTGAGAGCGAACGAGGCATTCTATTCTCTGCGAGCTCTAGGACATCAAATGTTCCAATAATTCAATACTCGGCTCGGCTACCTCCGACCAATGGGTCGGGTTATAAGCTAGTAGTCTTAATATGTATACTATCAAACATGTGAGTTCTCTTTGAGTTGAAACTTGCTCACCTATAATACGTTTTTACTATGTGGGATTACTTGAAAAAGGATTTGTTGATTACGATTTTGCTAGAGATTTCAATAAGACAAGGTCTATAAGTTATTCTCGACTTGTCTATTACAGAAGTCAGAGTATATGGCTATTTTAAAAGTTTCTAAAGGAGACTTATTGGATAAACATTTTCTTCATTGAGCTTCATAAGTATATAATGTTCAATGATGGAACAAAACACGCTAATGTGAGTTATCACTACATTAGATGTGACACGAAAGGTCAATAAGATGAGTGGACACATGAAAATTCGACTGATATGAGAACATTGAATCCAACTTGACTAGTATCACTTACTAGTCCAACGAACATTCTGGCCCACGAAGATGCTATGTCGACTTGATCGAACGAGTTCATTGCTTTCATCAACTACTACCGTAACTGGTGATTGTTGAAGCTAATATGAGTCTTTTTTTATATAGTCTAAGCTAGTACACCAAAACTTAAATATCTTATTATTTACTAGTGAAATAGGGAGTCTTTTTTTTTCTTCTTCATTTGCAATCAAATGATAAACACACACATATCCTTGCAATTAACCCTATTCTCTTGTATTCATGATACTTCTTCATCATACTGAAATTTTGCCATCGTGCCCACTTCTGTTTAATAACTTCCCACCCAATCTCATAAGAGTTCAGTTGAGAGAAATGAAATGTTAAATATTAGCAAGATAGTCATCTCATTGTTAGAAAAACCAAATAAGAAGCAACAAAGACATTGGGCTTTCCTTTCGGCTTGATTCAGAGAACTTCTCACGGTTGGTAATAAAATGACCTACGATTTGTTAGAGAACAAAGCATTTCCTAGGAGTAAAAGAAGGTCATCAGTAGGGGTGTCAGTTCGGGTCGGGTTCGGTTATCCAAACCGAAACCCGGAAAAACTCGAAAACCCGAAACTGAAAATCACTAAAACCGAACCCCAACCCGATAAACCGAAACCCGGAAAAACTCGAAAACCCGAAACTGAAAATCACTAAAACCGAACCCGAACCCGAACCCGATAAAGACTTGTGGGTTCCGGTTACCCGAAAATTCTTTATCGGGTTCGGTTAAAGCAAAACCGAAACCCGAAAATCCGAACGC